TCTGAAAAAGGCCACTGAACGAGCATCACTGATTATATAAGCGAATAGGCCACGCGGCGTTGACGAGGTTAACCACCGGTCACGAATGCAGCAACTGTCGGCCCACAGTGAAGAAAAAATCAATATACTAATAAAATTACTAATACAATAATAATGTCCATAATTTTACTTTTTCCGCACATGCTACAATTGAATTATAATTAAAATACTAGACTTAACAGTTCATTCCGTAAAAAACAAAAACTAGTTGTTTCAGTCTGGCAACTAGCGTAGCAATGACGTCATGATACTAAAAATAGCGGATAGAAATGTCAGCGTGGGTACCTCATTTTGGGATAAGATTTTGGAAACCAGAATCAATAATAATGTAAATATACAAGGTAAATATCTCAATTATATAATAACTTAGAGTCTGTCGGGCCATTTTCCCCGGAGGTCGGTCGTTTTTAGCGGCGGTTCAGTTTTTACGGAGAGCGCTCCACTAGAAATCCTCTTATTATTTACAACAACAAATATCTCGATTTTTTCTGGCATTCTAAGGCATATTATCCATTTTATTAGCATTTTGCATTAAAATAATGATGAAAAATTGCGAGATTAACAGGTTTTTTTGTCGTGGATAGGACCCCTAAAATAAACGTAAAAACCGTCTAAAAACGACGCGTGACGTTTCAGGGTCAGAGGTCAATCCAGCCATCTAAGCAACGCGCCAGACTAATAATTGGAATTGTTTTTTACCTTTTCTAATAAAAACACACTTTCATAAAAAAAAAATAAGTAGATGTAGAACTAAACCTAGTGTTTTCTAAATGTTTTGTGTGTTTCGGTTGTGTAGTTATAATAAAATACGCGCAACCGGGGGTGTACGTGAAGCGGCGAATAAAATTTAAAATACGCTAAAAATAAAATGGAGTTTCAACCCTCCTTTCAATTTGAGTAGGCATTCCGACTTCCGCTGTTTCGATTCGGTATTCAACATCCGGACTTTTCGATGCAGTCTTTATAAAAACTCGCTCTTTTCCGAAGAATGCCGAATCTCACTGTTGGAATCGAGTTTTTAGAAATATTCGATATAGATATTCTAGTGTAGTCGTATTATATGTTTCAATTAGAAAATTACCGCCATTATGACAATCTTTAAGCCGAAATCGATCGCACGATTCTAATGAGTTTATCTCGCGAACATGTCCCGTACGGTGCTGTCACATTTTAAATAAGTTTACGTATTAAACACATTATAAGTGTCTTGCCATTAGTTGTAAGTGTCCATTAAATAAACAAATATTATTATAATAACGGTTTTATGGCACTTACTACTTCTGCTTACGAGTTATCATACATGTCAAATCCCCGAGCTAGCGCTTCGGCCTTGACAACGCCATGGCGTCGGTTTAGCACCGCATTACCTATTATCGATAAAATACGCGCACTAATGCCAATGACGTAGTTTTCGAAGTTGGAAAGAATTTAAATTGTGGGTGGCACTGTTAAAACTAGATAAAATACGTTGATCAAGTTATCTATTAAAACCGACAGGCAAGAAGCTTAGGCTTACATTAAATAGTGTTAAGCATTTCACACATACCTACTTACTGACTTACTTAGATTTAAGGCTAATACTAATAGCCTTTAATATACTATTATACTTTATACTATAAATAAGTTATAGGCCTATTTCTTAGTATAACTAATGCTATATACTATATGTATCGATTGATAAAGTAAGTCTGGGCATATTATTGGTTATGATAAGTAAAGAAGCTTGGTGATAAACTTATTTAATTATTTGTAATAATTATGCTTATGACATTAGTAAATAATTAACAAAAGGTGCAGCAATTGACATGGGGGGGGGTACTAATTAATAAGGCAGTGAATTTAGAATGACATGAAAAAGGCATGATAATTATTATTCATAATAATTTAGGATACAATTTTTACATTTAATAATAAAAAGTAACAAAAAACAAATAACAACAAACAATACGGATTTAAATCACTGCATGTTGCCAATATATATATTCATATAAGCAGATAGACAGGGAAGCTGTAACTTCTGATTTGGTACAAATTAATACTTAGCTTAATAAACTTTTACAAGAATTTAAGGTTTTTCTATTGATTAGTAATTTAGTTGTACCAAAATATCAATAGGGTCTTATAAAGGCCCTAGTATATTAAAGTAGTTTCCCTTTTGGACCTGTCAATCCATCATCCATAAAGCAGCTGAAGTAGAGTTTATCTTTTCTTGACCCATGCACATGAAGTGATGGTGTGGTTAGCTCTCTGCCAAGCTATCTTTACTTTCCCTTGGGTCAGGTACTCATCTGAGCTTGGTGGATGCTGCACAGACAGACTCGTCTGAGATCTGAGCTTAAGACTTGCATGTTAGTAGTTGAGTGCTTTAACACACCATCCCTAGTTTTATTTTTCAGCATTCTTCTTATTACATGCTTCAGTATCAATAACCAAAATGTATCCTATCTATTATAGTAACATTCTGGACATACGTCTGTTGCAGTCACTATAATTACTATAAAAGGGTGCAACACCCTTTCATAGGACTTTTTAATTATATGCAGTCATACTTAATATAATTTTTTTCTATATTTCTATTGCCCCCACCCTCTAGCAAAGTTTCAATTTTAATATTAAAAAAAAACATAGACTTTCAGTCTGCATATTGACCTATATAGAACAGCACCCCTCACTTTAATTTGACTTGATTAGTTCTAATTATCCTTCATCAAATTTTGATTTTACTTTCATATTTCTATTGCCCACACTCTCTAGCACTAATGTGCAAAGTTTTATAATTATATCTCAAATAGCAGCAGTGGTATGCAAGCCTAAAGCCAATCACACAATTAAATCCGATGTTACAGTAATATATAACAGGTTTAATACATAACTTTAAAAATTCATATAAAAAAACTATTAGGCCTAGAATGATAAATTTGGTATTTTTATCAATGGGGTATATTATAGGATTAATCTGTGTACATTTTATCATTCTATGGTAATTAGGAAAAATATCCCAACATTCCTAATTTGTAGGCCGCCTCATTACTTAGATGGCTGGATTGACCTCTGACCCTGAAACGTCACGCGTCGTTTTCTGACGGTTTTTACGTTTATTTTAGGGTCCAATCCACGACATATGAAAAAACTGTTAATCTCGCAAATTCTTATCATTATTTTAACACAAGATGCTAATAAAATGGATAATATGCCTTAGAATGCCAGAAAAAATCGCTAGAATTGTAGTTGTAAATAATGAGAGGATTTCTAGTGGAGCACTCTCCGTATAAACTGAACCGCGGCCAAAAACGACCGTATAACGGGGAAAACGGCCCGTATAACAGTAGATTAATATATAATTGAGATATTTACCATGTATATTTACAGTATTATAGATGATTTTTACCAAAAATCCAATTACCCCGTAAGTAACCATGCGACAATTTCTCTCTGCTATTTTTAGTAACGTTGCATCATTGTTACGCTAGTTGCCAGACAGAAACAACTAGATCTAGTTTTTTGCGGAATGAACTGTTAAGTCTAGTATTTTAATTATAATTCAATTGTAGCATGTGCGGAAAAAGTAAAATTATGGACATTATTATTGTATTAGTAATTTTATTAGTATATTGATTTTTTCTTCACTGTGGGCCGACAGTTGCTGCATTCGTGACCGGTGGTTAACCTCGTCAACGCTGCGTGGCCTATTCGTTTATATAATTAGTGAAGCTCGTTCAGTGGCCTTTTTCAGAGCTAGGCCTAATTACGGGCGATTTTTAGACTTATTGATCGCCGTTAGCCTTTTTCAATTTTCATTGCTGCGTATTTTAAAAAATGCTCGTTCAGCGGCCTTTTTTTTGGCGCTAAATAATCTGTTTACGGGCATTTTAAGCGTTTATTTATTTTATTTTTTAAGCTAGATGTAGATCTAGTTAAAAAAATAATCTAGCATGCCTGATATGAGAACTTTAAAAAAAAAAAAAAAATTACCGAACTTTTAAAAAAATGATCAGAAGTAGGAAAGTAGGTCTGTTTTTCAATTTGCTTGAAGAAGGGGGGGGGGGGGGGGGAGAGAAGTGAAGACACCGACCATCTCGTGTACACGTGTTCATTCTATGACGTGTACTATAGGCCTGCTGAAGTCACGGTGACCCCGCGACCGTGGTGGGATTTTTCATCAATAGGATAGTAAACGCAAGCAAGCAATCACGCGAGTGACGATGTTTGGAGATTTTATTTAAAAAAAAAAATCACATACGTCATGTTTTCAAGATGAAAAAAAAATGTAATGTAAAAAAAAAAAAAAGACACTAATACCATGTATGAACCTCAGCTGCCACACTGTTGACTCAATATAATGTGAATTGAGTGTAAAATGTATTTGTATTTATAAACTATAATATAGCATATTTATTATTTAAAATTAGAATTTGAAATAAAAATATTTATTATGGTCATTTGATTTATGCAGGTGTTCATTATTGCATAAAATGGTTTGAATAACATGTAGAGTAGAATTTAATAAATAATAAAATAACTAGATCTAGTTTTATTATCAAATCAACCAGTTACTTTTTGTTATTTTCCGGTGAGTAAATTACCTAAGCTGACGCAATTACCATGGCGGGAATTAAAAGCTCGTGTACACAAGTCGACGACGTCATGTTATGCCGGTCGAGGGCCAAGAACGCTGTTTGTCATTCATTTTCCATTTTTGATTAATTTTCAAATTCTCTCTTTTCTCGTCAACCGAGTAAGCTAGATATTTAAATGTGGTGTCAAATGTTCTCTTAAGGGGTAAGGAAGTTAATGGTGTATTTAAAATAACAGAATATTTTATTTTAAAAAATCCATAATTCAACCTACTAATTTGAGACTATTCTCGCTCGGGTCCATTAAAAACGATTAAAATCTTATAAGTGTAGGTCTAGATCAATAACTAGTTAAAGATATCTACAAAGAATAGGTATTATGCATACAGAAAGTGGTCTAGATCTACGCCAGATTGGTTTGAAGACTTGCAGGTTAGAAGAGAATATTGATGAAAGGCTTTTGAGTGATGACAAACGATTATGTTGTTTATCTCCCCATGTTTCCGGTGAAACGGGCTTAGCAGTTATCGGTGATGGTATTTTAAAAATGTAGATCTCTATTCTGTTTTAGAAAAAAAGATTTGATACAATGAATAAAGACTAAATATCTACTTCTAGGCCTAGACTGGAGCAATGTCCGACCTCCCCCACCCCCTCCCCAGAAATTTGAGTCCGCTTCGAATGTTTCAGCCCCACCCAGTGGCGGAACTAGAAAAAAAGGGCCACCTCGCAAAAAAAATTATTGGGGGTCATCCCCCCCCCCCCTCAAAATTGCAGTTGAATTTTTCTTAAAACATCGATATTTTTTCCAAAATCTTGTCTGAACTCTCTCAACTTGGAGTATTTTAATCATTTCCTATTACGATTTATTAAAACAGTTACCTAAAACGCGAAATAAAGGCTAAAATTCGTTTTCCAACATTACTTTTTGTTAATGCAAAAATGTGACGTCCCACCATCTGAACCCCACCCCCCCCCCCCCCCACCCCTCATCACACGCAGTCACAAAATTACGGACCCCCCTCCGCCCTACGAGTGTGACGTCATTTATGGACGACCCCTTGGGCCCCTATATAATTATATATATATATATATATATATATATATATATATATATATATATATATATATATATATATATATATATATATATATATATATATATATATATACAATACAAACATAGAAGACTCATTTCGAGCCTGATCGGGTTTTGAAAAACAATTCTTTGCTTTTTTTTTATTTTCACAAATTACAACAAAAAATCATGTGTGTCCGTCCATTGGTCTGTTTCATTTTACGAGCCGACCCGCGGCGTATCATATGCCGCTATTTAGTTGTTTTATTTTCTACTTTTCAGTAATTCATAATTTGTGAATTCTACAGTACCAATGCTGCCACTGAAAATATTTGCTTTAAAACACTATCAGTAGGTCGTTAAGAACGATACTACCACACCCTCCTTTCCACCAACTACTACCCTACACCCCCCCCCCGCCCCGTGAAAGCAGCCTCCCCTTTATTACCTCCCTTAAGTTTAAAATCGTTTCAAACTAAATTATCTGCCCCTAATAGCCGTCACTAAACCCGGCTCTACGAATGTAAACATTTAGCGTGAACCACAGCTCACCAGACCATGTAGGGGTGGGGTGGTAAGGAGCGCGCTTACAGCTTGTTTTCTAGCGTCTCCCAGAAGAGAATTATATATATAGATATCTGCCGTAATGCATCTTTCACGCGAAGCCGTCAAAAGTATATGCACATGAAAGCTTTGTATGTGTAATGGTTTCTCGTGTTATGTTTATTTTTATGTTTTCTTTTTACTATCTCGTATAAACGAAGTATAGAAAAGTCTTGTAATCGTGCAAAAAAAAAATAATCAAGATTTTTACAAATCTCGACGTTTTACACCTCACTGATACGGAAAAACATAATTTTGCAATCTTGTCCGTCTGTCTGTGTGTCTGTGTGTGTGTGTGTCTGTCTGTCTGTCCGTGTGTAAACACGATAACTTGAGTACCGTTACAGCTAGGTTCATGAAATTTCATATATAAGTATTTAATCAAAATCGTAGATCCGTATCAACTTTTGAGCGATTTCCGATAACCAGAAGTGGTACTTTTCCTACTTTGAATTTTTCAAAAGCCTATAACTTGAGTACTATTTCAGATAGATAAATGAAATTTCACATGTAAGTAAAACATCTAATTCTCTACCTTCTGTTAAATTTTGAGTAATTTCCGTTGACTGGAAGTAGTTATTTACGCTACTTCCGATTTCTCAAAAAACTAATGTAAATTTTTAAAGTACTAATAATATCGCGCACTATTATACGCGTTTTTATTTGGCGTTCACTTGGTGTGCAATTAATCTGTCTACGAGATTTTATTCTATTTTTAAAACTTTAAGTATTTAAAATGGATTAAAAATCATGTCTATAGCCCGAGTTCCCATCCCCTGTTATTTTATATAAGAATATTCGAGAAAATTTAGGGGAGATCACTCCCGGTTTATTTATATTATTAATTTTTAATACATTTCCATTTTATGCTATGTCATGGTATTTTTTCTTCTTTCCCTACTAAGCACAATTGTCCGATTCCTAAAAATTCACTACAGTATAAGTGTTTTAATTTCTGTTTTAGGAATCGTAAAATGTGAACGTTATATACCCCACCTAGCTAGTCACACATCATCGCAAGAAGTCCGATGCCCAACAGAGAGCTTAAATGCTACCCCGCCCCTCCCGCCCGCTACCTGAGGTTAGGGGTCATTCATTTATGACGTCAACACGGAGGGGGGGGGGGCGGAATGAGAAAATAATCGACTTTTGTGGACGTGTGTGGACTGGGGGTGGGGGGGGGGTGGTCAATGTGGACATCCACATTCGGAATTAAACAACAAAGTACTTACATTTGATAATTTTAAAAATAAAATTTAAATAAACCGGGAGTGATTTCCCCTAAACTTTCTCGAATATTCTTATATAAAACAACAGGGGGCGGGAACTCGGGATATAGTTATGATTTTTAATCCATTTTAAATACTTGAACTTTTTAAAATAGAATAGAATCTCATAGAAAAAATAATTGCGCACCAAGCGAACGCCGAATAAAGATGTGTATAATAGTGTGGAATATTATTAGTACTTCATAAATTCACATGCGTTTTTGAGGTATAGGAAATAGTGAAAATTACTACTTCCGGTCATCGGAAATTACTCAAAATTTGACAGAATGCAGAAAATTAGATCTTTTACTTACATGTGAAATTTCATTTATTTATCTGAAATAGTACTCAAGTTATAGGCTTTTGCAAAATTGAAAGTAGAAAAAGTTCCACTTCCGTTTATCGGAAATCGCTCAAAAGTTGATCAGGATCTACGATTTTGATATAATACTTATATATGAAATTTCATCAACTTAGCTGTAACGGTACTCAAGTTATCGTGTTTACACACACACACACACACAGACATACGGACAAGATTGCAAAACTATGTTTTTCCGACTTAGGAAGGTGAAAAACTTCGAGATTAGCAAAAATCTCGATTTTTTTTTTGCACGATTACAATACTTTCTCTATACTTCGTATATACGAGAAAGTAAAAAAGTTCTCATAAAATGTAGATTGTACTTGGCAGTTCTCGGAGTAAATGTATGAGAAATGTAGCTATATATACAGCCCGCCTAAGGGGTTTTTGTGACGACGTGTTACGGAGGGAAGGGGGGGGGGAGGTAAAAATCGTTTAAAAAGCGTGACGTCATTTATGGATGACCCCCCCCCCCCCCCCACCAAGAAAAAAAAGCGATTTTATTTTACAACCGGGAGGGGATGAGGCAGTGACCACGGCAATTTTCTAAAACAATTCATGGTATTCAAGTTTATTTTTAAACATTTCAAACAATTGTAACCATATCATAGTAGGCCTACGTCATTATTTTGTGTCAAAACTTAACATGATGTAGATCTAGTCATTTTTTCATTTAAATAAACCGGGAGTGATCTCCCCTAAACTTTCTCGAATATTCTTATATAATATTATTAGTACTTTATAAATTAACATGCGTTGTTTTTTTTTGAGAAATCTGAAATAGCGTAAATTAGTACTTTCGGTCAACGGAAATTACTCAAAATTTGACAGAAGGTAGAAAATTAGATCTTTTACTTACATGTGAAATTTCATTTATCTATCTGAAATAGTACTCAAGTTATAGGCTTTTGAAAAATTCAAAGTAGAAAAATTACCACTTCCGTTTATCGGAAATCGCTCAAAAGTTGATCAGGATCTACGATTTTGATAAAATACTTAGATATGAAATTTCATCATCCTAGCTATAACGGTACTCAAGTTATCGTGTTTATACACAGACAGACACACAGACACACGGACAAGATTTCAAAATTATGTTTTTCCGTATCAGTGAGGTGTAAAACGTTACAAATCTCGATTTTTTTTTTGCACGATTACAAGACTTTATACGAGAAGGTAATAACCACGTTACGTAGGGCTACTGTTCAGATCGACCACAAAAAGGGGGAAAGGCCGTTTGTTGTTGAAATGCATGCAACGATAAGTTGAGTAAAAGGAATATAATGACGTCACGTCACGGGTGGGGGTTGGGGAAAGGAGGGGGGGTTATCGTCCTTAACGAGCTAGTGATAGTGTTTTAAAGCAAATATTTTCAGTGGAAGCGTTGGTACTGTCGAATTAACAAATTATGAATTACTGAAAAGTAGAAAATAAAACAACTAAACAGCGGCGTATGATACGCCGCGGGTCGGCTCGTATGATATAATCGTTAATAGCTAGGCAGCCACAAATGACAGTAAAAAGTTGGGTCTACAGCATCTTCAATAAAAAAACAAGTAATTAAAAAAAGTCTAGTGACAATTTTAGCACAATTTCCTTATGTTATCTAAAAATAGCTCTGTCGTAGCGTTAATCAAGAGCAGGGTTAGTAAAACCATTGGTTAGTTATTAAAACGTTTTTTATTAAAAAAAAATTCATTATTTTACATGTTTTATTTACAATAGAGTAACATGACTAAAAACCATTGCGCGCCTAGCTACCGAACGTGATGTCGCAGCCATTGAACGTGATGGCGCAGCTATTGAACGTGATGACGCGTGTGGTGTGGTTGGAAAAACATGCCTACTAATTCGGTCCAAATTTTAATTAATTCAAACAATTTTTTGTGACCGAACGAAAGGATATTTTTGAAAATTTTCTTCGGCAATATTGTTCTAAATTATGGCAGGAATCGATTGGTACATGTTTCAAGTCGCTAAGTGGTCTGGTTGCCGAGATATGGGCCAAAAACTGCATTTTTTCGAGGTTTTTTGGCTTTTTCGGGAAATCCATGAAAGAAACCCGGAATTTTTATGGCCTATGTTCATCCTCGTAACTTGCTTAACATAATTGCTTTTGTAACTAGTCATCGATATTGCTTCGTTGAGGAGGAGATACGACTTAAAGCCCGGACACACATTCATACATCCATACATTCATTCATTCATCCATCCATTCCCAGAAATGACGAGTTAATAAACGCAATTCTCCAGAATGGAAATTGCGCTAAAAATTATGACTGCCTGCAATTTCTGACTCTTTATAAAAATGGTGGGTAAAAAAAACATTTAAAATCGAGAGGCAGGGTACACAGCGTCACAGCGCAATCACTCTTTCAATAAAGAACAATTCTAGATAGTCCTAGCACCTTCACACGGTACATGTAATGGATGTTACTGAAAATACCAAACCCCTATATTACATAATCAGTTAATGTACACATTGCATGTAAACGAATTAATAATTTTGCAGCATGTTTTGAGAGGTCTACTAAATTTTTGTGGACGTCCACAATGCGAGGAGGGGGGATTCGTCGAAAGTGGACTCGTGTGGACGGAGGAAGAAGGGGGGGGGATTCTAAACTTCCAAAATTTTGTGGATGTCATATGGATGGTCCGTTTGATTACCGGTACCCCAACAACACGATAGGACCTACAGCAACAAATTACTAGCAACAAACAAGAACTGTAACTCTCCAATTTTCCACAAATAGCGAGAAATGCGTAAAGTATTTAGGCAAGCATTCATTACTAAATGCTGTTTATAATCAAATGAATATCACTTTAAATAGACCTTGTTAGCCCTAAATGCATTTCTATTGATAAAATATTTTACGATTGACGGTAATCAAAAAGATGTTTAAAGTTTTATTTTGTTTTTAAATCAGCTTTTTGGTATATGAACTTTGCTTTTACATTCGAAACATAAATATAGCAGTTCAAAATATCAATTGTAAGTTTCAGCGTGAGGAAGATACCAGTGATATTCATACTGGAAGCTAGATCGGGATTCTAGTTTTGATCTAGACAAGGAATTCCAGCTCATTTTATTTGAACTGTTTTATTAACACTACGCATAATTCAACATGAATATCAGATGTGCAACGGTAATATATTGCTTAACTTCCTTAATTACATAAATAATAGAGATCTAGAACTAACTGAACAGTCCAGAGTCCCTGTCGGCGGCGACCGCCACGGCCACGGTAAAGTTAACTGCTGACTGCTAAGTATTAAGTAAGAGTGCTAAGCTAAGCTAATAGATTCTAGAGTCTAGATCTACTTGTAATAGCCTAATGCAGGCCGATTTATTTATATACTTCTATTTGTTTGCTTGTCTTCTAGATCTACCTTTTTTGAAGTGACTGTTGTAGCGCGACCCAAAAATTAATGTCGGGGCGGGAGGATGGGTGGCAGATTCTATTCAAATTTTGGGTAATCTATCGTTTTAAGTTAGGCATTTCGACTTCTGCTGTTTCGATTGGATACGACCACATACGGACTTTTTCATCGTACTTGTTGAAATTCGCCATTTTTTAACATGTTAATTCTCGCCATCGGAATCAAAGGATTTGTAATAAATAATATTAGGCCGACTAGGCCTATTAACTTCAAAATGTTATGAAATTCATATGATTCTCTAAAAATTAAGTCTTAATACAGGCAGTTGTCTTGTGGTTCTGAACTAGGTACATTGGGTTAGTAGCTAGGAACTATTCCATCCAACCACAGTCTATAAGTATAGGCCCTAATAAATCTAGTTAGAAATATTAACAGTAAAACCACTCAAAATGTGCAACTTCAAGATAACATGTACAAAAAAAGTACTTTGTCCATCTCAACAATGTTTGGTTCAGTATTAATAAGTTAACTATTTAAGAATGTTTGGCTATCCAATGAGTTTCATTAGTTTCAAAAAACTTATCTCTGTCAAACAAAGTTACCCTGTAGATAAGTTACTTTATAGGTATTATTACTTGTGAAAACCCTGCAGTATCTCAGTATATTGAAACACAATTAGGTTTTCATATAATTGAAAGCAATTATTTTTTTTTACAGCCTGATGACTTAATGAACATGCAACATTGTAATTTGTTATGTTTACCAGAAAATTATCAGATGAAATACTACTTTTACCATGGTCTTTCTTGGCCTCAGGTGATTTAATTTTTTAAAAAATTCTTATATTTGTAACTTACCAATTTGAAAAATAATGTTTAATTAAGTTTAAGTTACTTATTATGTCTATGTGCTAACACTTTAATGCTGTATGTATTTTTGGCTCTTTTAATTTGTTTTTATTTATCAGAAGCAAAAAAGCAAAAAACTCACAATAACATATTTTTCTTTTAGTTGTCCTATGTGGCTGAAGATCACAGTGGTAAAATTGTTGGCTATGTGTTAGCCAAAATGTAAGTATAATAGCAATATACTAAATTTATTGAAAAAAATTAAATTCTTATTCTGCCAGTGATCACATTAATTTAAAAAAATAGATTTTATTTCCTCAGATTAATATGCTTTCTGGAGGTAAAAAAATTGTTCATTAAATAAAATTATTTAAATTTGACCTGGCATGTTTACGAACTTATATGCCTCAAGTTCAGTCCCCAGTTCGATTTAGCTTTGGGTACCTGATTCAATTTGGGGGGAAGTAAATGCACATAGGGCTGAGCACACAATCCTATAATTTACTCAGATAAATAAATAAAAACTGACAAATATTCATCTGCCCTAAGGACTTTCAGGTCTGAGTGTTTACTGTAATTGTTTTCAATAATTTATTAAGTTATTACATAAATTGGAGTAAATAAGCAATTTCCCAGCTAGATAACACACTAATAGTCTTTAAAAAAATTATGCTTTCAAATGTTTTTACCCACATTTTTCATCAGATCAGTATAATTTCTTTAGTGCAAATAGTACTATACATGTTTAAACCATGCTAAAGGCAATACACACCACAATCACTTTTGAATTTCCAATATTTATAATCATACACTAGGCAAATGCTGATGTTGACATTGCCAAATATGTAAATATATCTATGTTGCAATGAGGGCTGAAAATAAAGCTGGTTTTTATATTTGTAAAAAGTGCACAATATTATCGACAATCGTTTTGTCCTTTTAATTTGTTTTTATTGTAGGGAAGAAGACCCAGAAGACTCTGTTCCTCATGGACACATAACATCTTTGGTGAGATCTTTTTCTTTCACTTACTCAGATACAAACTTGTAGTTGGCCTCTAAAGGTCTATCATGTTTCTCTGACATGTTGTAATCTCCTTTAGGTAATGCTTTTTTTTATTAAAAGTACAAACTGTAATAGAATTGATTATATTATAATTTATCCTCTAAAGAAGGCTTGGTTGGCTGGTCCATCCACCACAGGCATTTGTACACATTCCTATAGCTATACAAGCCAGTTATTTCCATTTGATTTTAGTTTGTGTAAACTAGAGCTGCAATCGCCTTCTCTATTTTTTTAGTACCAAACCTTGCATCAATTTTTATAAATCATTTTATTTAGGCTGTTAAAAGATCCCATAGACGTCTAGGATTAGCTCAAAAGTTAATGGATCAAGCATCACGTGCAATGGTAGAAAATTTTAATGCTCAGTATGTTTCACTTCATGTAAGAAAGAGCAATAGAGCAGCACTTCATCTGTATACAGAAAATCTCAAATTCTCGTAAGTATTTGAGTAAGGTATTAAAAACTAGTTGAGTGTATAATAAGAATTATAAAGTAAATTATTATATTATATTTTTTCATTTATTGTTTGTTTTTGTATAAACATTTTGAATTAATTATTAAGTTGATTTCTCATTATAAAAAAATAATCAGCCTTTTCTTCTGTACAGCATTAGTGAAATAGAGCCAAAGTATTATGCAGATGGTGAGGATGCTTATGCCATGAGAAGGGACTTGACAGAATTCAGAGAAAAGGTAAGATGTCATTATTGAACAGTTACTTGAACTTTTTTTTCAAATTGTGTATTCCCAGTATGGACTAAAACCTGAAACATATCAGCTAGCTATTTAAGATATCACGAGCCGACCCGCTGCGTATCATACGCCGCTATTTAGTTGTTTTTATTTTTCTACTTTTCAGTAATTTATAATTTGTGAATTCGACAGTACCAATGCTGCCACTGAAAATATTTGCTTAAAACACTAAACTCCCCCCCCCCCCCCCCCCACTTGAAAGCAGCCTCCTCTTAGTTACCTCCTCTAAGTTTAAAATCGTTTCAAACTAAATTATCTGCCCCTAATAGCCGTCACCAAACCCGTCTCTATGATTGTAAAATGTAAACAGCGTGAACCACAGCTCACCAGACAATGTGGGGGTGGAGTGATAGTGATAGAGAGAGAGGGGACTGCAAGGAGGCGCTTGCAGCTTGTTTTCTTATGGCTCCCAGTAGAGAATTATATATATAGATAGATTATTGAAGAGTAATAGTAATAGTAACATGTAGTTACTTTTTTAATGTTTTTTTTTTTTTCAAATTGTGTATCCCAGTATGGACTAAAACCTGAAACAGATCAGCTAGCTTTGTAAGATATCATTATTGAAGAGTAATAGTAACATGTGGTTACTTTTTTAATGTTTTTTTTTTTCAAATTGTGTATCCCCAGTATGGACTAAAACCTGAAACAGATCAGCTAGCAATCGAATCTTTACCTGAACAAAAGATGAAAGATTGAACCAAGCTAATCTGGAGATTTAGCCATTCTTAACCAAACCATTTGTAGCAATGACTTATTATGAGATTGTAAATAAAATTATTTAATTTGATCAACTGGCAAGAGAGTGTGTCTGATTTTTTTTATTCAAATGTTGGTACGCCTTTTTTTGCATTATATGAATAATTTAGGAATACATTGCTTTATTAACTAAAACAATTTATAATTTGACTTGCGAACATTTGTCTATGATCTTTAAAAAATTATTATTTTTTAACTGGTATGATTAGAATACTTGAATTATAAAAAACATTGTACATAACTACACCGACATTTGAATAAAAGTGTAGAGAAAGGTTTTTCAAAATGCAAAAATATGATTGAATGTAGTTTTTTGTACATGTTTTATATTTTGTATGCAGTGCAACATTTATAATCATATCTAATAAACATTGATAGGAAAATACCCATAATTTGTTGATGAAATTTCAAATCATTATTTAAGAGAAATTAAGTGAAAAATATTACAGTATAGTTTTAACTGGCTAGTATATTGTGAAAGAAATTTTTTTTTTTTAAATTGAGAAAAAATAAAATAATTTTAAAAATTGTGAATATTTATGTTGATTTAGAATGTTTGTAGTTTTGTTAAACATCTCTTCAATTAATGATTTGAAGGACTGTTTTTTTCTCTTATATTCAAAAAGTTGAATGCCTAGGGTATTTAAAAAGGTGTACTGAATAAGTTATTTATCCAAGGGATCATCCATAAATGACTTCACGCTTTTTTGAACGATTTTTACACCCCCCTCCCCTCCGTCATACGTTGTCACAAAAAACCAGCCCCCCTCCTAAAATGACGTCACACCTCAGCCTGCAACCCCCCCCCCCCCCTTTAAAAATTGCTGTAGAATTTTTCTTAAAACATCGATATTTTTCCAAAATCTTGTCAGAACGCTGTCAACATTGAGTATTTCGATCAATTCCTATTACAATTTATCAAAACCATTTTCAAAAACAGCGAAATAACGGCTAAAACTCGTTTTCTAACATTGCTTTTTATAATGTAAAAATGTGACATCACACCATCTGAACACCCCACTCCCCCTCATCACACATCGTCATAAAATCACGGACCCCCCTACGAGTGTGACGTCATTTATGGACGACCCCCAAACTGGTACTGTAACTTCATACAAGTATACCCCATCGCACCAAGTGATGCAAATTTTTATGAGGTTTTCATCAACCTGTTACCAGCCGTTATTTTTAGACACGTGACATTGTTTTCTCGAACTGAGTTATTTAAATGCAAACAAAGGCGGAAAAAATTTCTTGTATCTTAGGTTTTGGAGCGCGGCTTTTGTCTTCTCTACCTCCTGAAGCCCCCAAGACAAGAAAACCTTGAGTGTATGTTTATCACCCTTTGTAAGGTAGAAAACCTCTTGGCGACGTCGCGGGGCCACGTTTCATACTACTGTAGAGGCACTGGGAGCAACCCCTGACAGAGGCGTAGCGGTGGGGGGGGGGGGGGGGACAGGGGGGGGGGACATATGTCCCCGGGCGCCGACCTTAGGGGGCGCCAAAATGGGTTGTAAAAACAAATTAAAATGTCATTTTAGCTTCATTTTTGCAGTTTGAGGGGGTGGTGCAAATCGAAAAGTTGAGGGGGGGGGGGTGCAAATTGAACATTTGCTCCCGAGGGGGGGCGCCAAATTGAAAGTTTGTCCCCTGGCGCCGGGAAGGGTTGCTACGCCTCTGACCTCAGGATAGGTTTAGTCATCTAACGTAGTGGCACACAATGTCATTAGTGTAGTAGGTTCTTAAATATGAATGTGGGTGCCATAGTGCTCACTGGAGAACCCATAGTGCTCTGGGGCATTCGACCGGCGGATGCACCTGGTGCAGTTTGATCGTTAAATCTGTAGTTCCCTGGCGGCCTGCCCAAGACGTTCTACCAATAGATCCCCGCTGCTAAGATATCCCCTCGGGGTATCTAGGCACCAAACATCAACCTACTGAATTTTTCCCCCCTGAAATCTTCCCAGGAGTATTCTCATCAACTTCCCAAAGTTTCATGGCGATCGATGGTGAATGGTGTGGTAATGTATAAAATACAAACCAACCAATATATATTTTCAAACGAAGTAATATATATGACTTCATTAACAACCGTAGTCAGCTGGGATAAAACATCTAGTATAATGAATTTTACGTGCATAGTTGGGAACATATTTTAGGCCAAGTTAGTTTACAAAATAAATATTCTAGTTTGACTGTTGGCTGGTAGGTCTATCTCTTACATTGTCTACCCTTCCTCCAGCCTTACCTAATTTAGTATTTTAATGTCGCCACAGTTCTGTGGTGCCTGATTCAGAGGCGTAGCGACCCTGCCCGGGGACAAACTTTTCGATTTGCACCCTCCCTCAAGATTTCGATTTGCACCCCCCGTCAAACTTTCGATTTGCACCCCTTCCCCCTCAAGATTTCGATATGAACCCCCCCCCCCCCCCCCCTCAAACTTTCGATTTGCATCCCCCTTAACCTTTCAATTTATTTTTCCAACCCATTTTGGCGCCCCCTAAGGTCGGCGCCCGGGGTCATATATCCCCCCCCCCGCCCCTTCGCTACGGTACTGGCCTGATTAAAAAGTCAGATTTGATTAGCGACCAGGCAGGAATGCATGGTGCCATCACCGATGACCCGATGTCAACCAGAGGGGAGGTACAAAAAACCGCGGGGACTTGGATAAGCAAAAGACGGCCGTTGTGTAAGTGAGGGCTACAGGACATTAAACCCCACCCCCCAGACATCCCTCCGTATTTACCCCCCCCCCCCCCCATCCACCAAGATAGAAAGATTTAAAAACCTATTAAATAAACCCAAAACTAAACCCGACTCTAGACATTGATTTAGGGGGGTATATCCAGGAGGTAATTGACGGGGGTGGGGGTGGTGGTGGCAACGCCCTATTACCGTAAGGTAGGCCTACAGCTAGAGATGAGAGGTTTTTGGAGTGATATGTAGAGAATTTTAAAAACATAAATGTAACACATTTGTTATAATGTGCACTCAGTGTTTCTTCCAGACTTTGTTCTCCGGAGGGGCTGTTAAAAGTATATATTTTCTATATAAATTATATAAATTTCATTTCGTTCGGGGGGGGGGGGGGGGGGGGGCGGTAAAATTTTTTCGGGGGGGGGGGGGCGGGGGGCTTCCGAAGAGATGCCTGGAAGAAACTCTGTGTGCACTGTGTTCTTAAGTCGTAGAATTGTGTTTACAACTATTAGCTAACGTATTAGCTTTAATGAACATCCTGGCGTTAAATGTAATTTTTTTTTTCGGCCTTAAAATTCTGGCCTGTTAGAATTTCAAGGTAGGTTATATATTATTGAATGTTGTAGTTGAACATGTCTCAGTTATGTTGTTTTGTTGCAGCATCGACTGCGGTTGGTTTGTACCCAAGAAACACGGGGCCTATGGGACGTTCTACCAGTGTTTCCTCCAGGAAACCGCCCCCCCCCCCCCACTCGAACGAAATGGAATTTATATCGAAACTATATACGTTTACCATGCCCCCCCCCAAAGTTTAAACTACCCCCCCGGAGAAAAAGGTTTGAAAGAAGCACTAAATCGGCATGGGAAGGGATAGTGTGGGCAGCACTATGACCAGCCACCTTTGCTTTCCCTTACGTGAGTTAGATACCCACCAGACCTGGGGGGTCATCCATAAATGACGTCACGCTTTTTTGGACGATTTTTACCTCCCCCTCCCCTCCGTCACATGTCGTCACAAAAAGCCAGACCCCCCCCCCCCCTAAAATGACGTCACACCTCAACCTACAACCCCCCTCAAAATTGCAGTTGAAGTTTTTTTAAACATCGATATTTTTCCAAAATCTTGTCTAAACTATTACAATTTATTAAAACAGTTATCTAAAACGCGAAATAACGTCTAAAATTCGTTTCTAACATTGCTTTTTTATAATGCAAAAATGTGACGTCGCAACATCTGAAACCCCCCCCCCCTCCCCCTCATCACACATCGTCACAAAATTACGGACCCCTCCCCCTAAGAGTGTGACGTCATTTATGGATGACCCCCTGGGCGGATTGAATTCGTTTCGAACTCGAGACTTTCGGGTAAGCATTCTAACTCAGAAGCATCAAAATCTATCTGGGATCAACGTTGCGACATAAACGACTAGATATATCATCATTAACATTGCTTAGTGTTGAAATTGACTTATTGATGACTTAAAATTTGAAGAAATTATATGGCCCTGAGTCTATAAACATAATGGCCAAAATTGTTAGAACTACACTGGCAAACTGAAATTGACAACGGACATCCGGTTTTAGTAAAGTTTGCACCAGCTTTGAAAATCAAAACAGTATGATGACTCATTAATACTCATTATAGATCTAGATTCTAGATTAATCTAGATCTAGATCTAGAATCTAGTTGTTGGTTAACCAAACTGTTTTGAAGTAGACAGTCTGATTTAGTGTTTATGCCTGAATAAGCTCTAGATCTATATCTAAGTCGCGCTTTTAAAACGATTTTTACCTGCCCATATCTTAACCCGGACCATAGCTCTAGGTCCGACCGCCCCTCCCCACCCCCCACCCTTTATAGTACTTTATACTTTATTATGATCTATATACCCCACCCTTTATTATGATCTATATATTAATTATTTATAACTTATATCTTATGTAATATGCAAAGTGGGCCACCTTCTTTTGTTTTTTAAAGTGATAATTTAATATAGAATATAGAATAATTATTAAATTATTTACTGTAAGTGGTGAACATTGAGTTTATTAATAATTTCAAAAACAGTTAGAGTTAGAGATCTAAAAACTTTAAACATATTTTTAATTTTAGTTTCTAACATTTAAAAAAAAAAAAGTATAGTGTGGCAACAAACTTTCTGAATCTAGATCTAGATTAAAGATTTAGATCTCTAGATTTACCTCCCCCATACATGTTCACAATAGTTTGAAATCTCATTGTTGACAGCTTCAAAAGTTCTGAAAGCTACCTTTTTTTTACAAGCATTTTTAGATCTAGAATCTATATTTAAGCATGAACTTGTGCTTAGTTTGAAAAGGTCACTACTGGTCTAAAAATGGTCTTAGAAGGAGCAGCAGCTCAACTCTTTATAATATATGAGCAGAGTTTCTTCCAGGCATCTCTTCGGGGGGGGGGGGGGGGCAAAGCCGAAAATTTTTTACCGCCCCCCCCCCCCGAACAAATGAAATTTATATAATTTATATAGAAAATATATACTTTTAACAGTGTCCGCCCCCCCCCCCCCCTCGAAGAAAGTTTACCGCCCCCCCGAAGATTTCAAGTGCCCCCCCCCCCCGGAGAAAAAAGTCTGGAAGAAACACTGTATATGAGAGCTTACTTGCATTCATATCATTAGTAGTAAATTATTAGACTAGGCTGCTTATGACATTAATAGCAGTTAGAATAGTGAATGTTCCAAAAAATTTCTTATATTTTAATAATGGTAATAATAGGCTTTATTTAAGGCAAAAGTACTAAACAATGAAAGCCCATGTTGCTTAATAGATGGAAAAGTATTTTTTTATTGCATTCATTAAAAAACATTTTCAATTTTAGTCTGTTTTTTTGTCAAGAACTAAAGACAGAACTGCATGGTAGTGCTGGGCTAACGTGACTTAACCATGGCCTTTAGTGCCCAATTATGAGTTCTAATGGAAATTAATGCTCAGTTGCAAATCCACAGGCCTAACTATCCAGGTAAAGCTTCTACAAGTTGAAAAAAATGCATTAGTCATACATTAAAATTTTAGGTTAATTTGTTTTGGTGCTGTTTTTATGTTTTGATGATACCTCCATACTTTATCCCAATAATCAAAGTAAAAGTTTCATCTTTGAAGGGGCAAACAAAAATTCAGCTGTAGTTAAATGACAACCCAATTTGTATTAACAAAAGTAATTTTTTTCACTCTATCTTGCTAGATTTCATTTATTGAATTGAATTGTATTGTTTTTTTAAAAAAAAACAACTTACCAATACTAATTGTGTTATTGATTTGTATAAATAATGTAATTCTTCTTAATTAGACTAATAAATATTTTTTGATATTTCAGATGAAATGTGGTGGAAAATATGAAAATATTTGTAATTTACAACATCAAAATTATTTGAAATTCTTAAAATAAAGTCAATTCAACCAAAATGCTAATTTCACAACTTCTCCTGTTAATGGTTCATTGGTATCTATTCAGTAATAGCTTTGTCGCAAGCATTTCAGTTGATTTTCCAGTTTTTCATTGTGGAAATGACTGTTTATGCACAACTTACATGGGTAGTAAAATAAGTGCTGAATGTTCTAATCAGCAATTGATAATGGTACCAACTGATCTTCCAAAAGAAATAGAGAAATTAGATCTGTCAAACAATAACATAAATCTAGAAGCATATGAAGAAGGTCTGATTTGCCAAATGTATCCCAATCTGAGCACTGTATCATTTGCTGAAAATAAAATGAAACAATTATATCCCATATTTTCAGGTAATTAAAAAAATGCTTATATAGACTACTTATTTTCTTAAACTTGAACTGGAAAAACCTGCCTTTCTTGTTAATTATTAATCTTTTTCATACCTACTTATTTTGTGTATTGTCTGTTCTAGGCCATTGCCATATAGGTCTATAATGGTCTATTGGTCAATTACATATGCATTCATTTTTGCCTGTCTATCAGTTGCTTTATTTCCAACAGGTTGTGACAAACTTACTGAAATGAATCTTCAAAATAACAACATTCAAAATCTAAATCCTGATACTTTGAAGGGGCTAAATAATCTTGAGGTTTTGCTTGGTCTAGAATTAAAGGAATTAAAAGTTGACAGTCTTAGGGAACTGCATCAATTAAAACATCTACAGTTGACTTATCATGGCAAACTGCTGCCAAGTTTACAAAGTCTCAGTACACTAAACAAACTAGAATTAACCCTGCCAAATATGATTAGGTTATCTGCTGAGAGTTTCCAGGTGGAAAATAGCAGTTTGATGGAGTTAAAATTAAAAGCACCAAAGGTATGAAAAGGATTTTCGTGAAATAACTAGATTTAATCAATGCTGTTGTTACCATATCAGCATTTAAAAAAGAAAGAAAATAATTTATTAATGTGTAATTTAAATTCTCATAATCCTTCCTAGCCTGTTTCTTCCTTTAAGATTTAACATAAAGCATTTTAGTTTTGTATGATAAATTATCTAGGTCTAATTTAGAAATCAAACTGCTATTGACTATTCATCAATTTTATCTTGTTATTTTTTGGTTTTTAAGTTAGCCACCAATATATTTTTTAATTTAATTTAACTTTATTAAGTCAGCAGAAAATCAATTTTTTGATGCTAAAATCACAATTTTTGTTTAATGGACTGTACCTTGATGGAATTAAATTAAATTAATAAACTGCTTTTCTTTCAGTTAAAACTTCTACCGTCAACACTGTTGAAAATGCTAGTCAACTTAGTTGACCTTGAATTAGAATTTACTAAACTAAATGACCTGCATTTTGAAAATACACCTAAAAAGATCAAGGTATTGTAATGATTAGTATGAAATGTTTTCAAACAATTTATTGCTTTATGCTATTGTCTTCATTTAAACTCACCTAATCTTGTAAAGACAGTTAATATTTTGTTCCTTAGGTTGTTTCATTGCATGTTAATTTGTTTTTATAAAAAAAATAGCCTTACGCCACAAGCATATTAACTAATTTAAACAGAGCCTCAAATTGAAGGGAGTGAGAGCTACACACACAGATTTGTTGCAGGGTATGGATTCTTTGGAAAGGTTATGGCTGCAGAACATGGATATTATTCGCTTCAATATGTATGGAAACACATTAAAGGTACATTCTAAAATAACCTGCTAAAAATTGCCAGGTAGTTTTTTAATTGAGAAATTTACCATATAATATTTAAAACAGAATACTCTACAAAAAGTAGTTATATTCTTTGTAACTTTCTGTTTAAAATTATTTTCCTCTCAATTAAAAATTTATTGCATTTTAAAAATATGGACAAATCTTCTCATTTTTTTTTTTTGGGGACCAAATCACCAAGCAATGTAATATTTTTATACCTAAAATGTCACTCAACATTTTTATTTTGCAACACCCTGGTTATTAAAATGTAAGTATTATAGTATTTTAAAAGTACTGTAAAAGATAAATAGTTACTGTGATCATCATGTATATACTCGATTATCTATAGTGCATATTTTTATTGAAGGATAAATGGATCTGAATCAAGTAGAATTGGAGGGAGAAAAAATAAATTTCTAAGAGAACCATTGTAGATCAATTAAACACAAAAAGGAAATAGTAGTGGTGGGATAATAACTGCATTAAGTTTAGCAAACTGAAACTAATTTTGTCCTATTTGTTTTTAATAACAGGAACTGTTATTAGCTGATTGTTCGTTGGAAAAGATGCCCCCTAAATGGCTTATAAACCTAACTAACCTTGAAATCTTGAATATAACTACCAGCGGTCTCCAGTACATAGATCCACTTGATTTTGTTAACTTGAGTTCATTGAAACTTCTGGTACTATCAGGCAATAAGGTCATTAAATCTGTTCTTAATGTTTGTTTGAAACCTCTGTATTACTATAAACTATCAATATTTCCTAAAACTATATATATGTTTATTAGATAGTCCATAGAGGCCTATAGTTTTTTCACTGATAATTGTTTATTCTGCTGATAATTTAAAAGTATCCTCAATTGCGTTTTTAAAACAATTTGTATTTTTTCAGAAATTATAAATTTACCACTAGAGCCAAAAAACTAAATAGTTATTACAACATTCAAAATAATTTAGGTAGTTTATGTAAAGAAACAGAATAACATTTATGCATTGTAACTGTATACAAGATGTATTTCATTTTACTTCAACAGTTGTCAAGTTTCCCAGCATTAGCAGTGAGGCATCTAAGCCATACTTTGCAAAAGCTAATTGTAAGCAAATCTCCATTAGATACTCTCTTGGAAGGGCATGTTTCCAATATGCTTGCACTTGAAGTCATTGATTTCAGTGAGAATAAAATTGAAGTTATTGGAGAAAATGCATTTCACAACTTGCCACAGCTCAAACGGTTATACCTGCAACAAAATTTTCTGGAAAAGCTGCCCACCAAGTTTTTGGCTAACATTCCTAAATTGGCTGTTCTAAATCTTGCAGGCAATAGCTTCTATACATGGCCAACAACGCTGCTAACCACAGATGTTGATGAGTTGGATATGTCTTCCAATATGCTTACTAAATTACCTTGGGAAAAAATGTGCACGATGAAAAATTACACAGTTTTGAAATTGTTCAGTAATTTACTTCTTTGTGATTGCGCCTTGCGAGAGCTACTGTATTGTCGGCCACCTAAAACTATACATGCCACCTGCAGCATCTCACTTCATGATGAACCCATGAACATTAATGAGTATACTGGTTGCATAACAACAACAACCACATCCTCTTCAACTGAATCTACCACAGCAGCTTCCACCTTGTCTTCAACAACACCTTCTACCCTATCTTCAACAGAGAGTACCACAGTTGGATCATATTCAACAAAAAGCACTTCAACAGAAACAGTAGTTCTAGCAGTAGAAAAAGCAGAAGAGGTTGAGATTGTTCGACCAATTGTTATTTCTGATAACACTGGCAGTGAAGTGAGAGATACCACCACACAGGTTACCAGCACAACAAAATCTACTCGTTCCACTGTTGAACGTTCCACTGTTGAACCATCGCAGAATGCTTCAATTCAAACACATGTATCCCATGAAAGCACAACTATAGCAGGCTTTGTTAAGAACAGAACTTTAGCGTATCCATTTGAAAATGTAACTGGACAGAAAGAACACCATAAGCTAGAGATGATCAAGCAAATGGCAGCCCCCAATAGTCAGAGTCAATCTATGTTGACATTAAACAGCTTGATCATAGCTTTTGCTGTCATTGGCACTCTCACTGCTGTAGCTGGAATAGGCGTTTGGTGTTACAGGAAAGTCTGGCAAACTGGATCATATGATACCGCTACCTATACTGATCCCTTAAGTCTAAACCATAGAGGTACAACTTAAATGTCAGCTCTAATATCTCAGTGATTTTTTAATCTACATTTTGTAATAATTACTTATTGTAATGCTGTAGAAACTTCAAAAAAAATTTTTTTTGATAATAGTCTATTTTTTTATAAAAAAGTTTAGCTAAGAGTTTTTAGTATCAAGTCTAACTTTTGTTAGATATCGATCAGTTACTAGAATACTATTAACTTAATATTTTCCCAACTAGAAAACATACATTCTGTCTTATTTACCTAGTAGGTTTAAAACGCTATTACCACAAAGCTATTGATCTTTCAACTTAACTGTTAAATTATTTAACATTTAAAACATTTTTTGCTTTTGGTCACATTGCATTCAATTTTTCAAAACTTGTGTTTTTGTTTGCTAAAGTCCATTTTTGTGCTCCTTCATAGCTGCTAATGTGACAGATTTCACAAAGAAATTTGTAAATAGAATTTTTAGACATTGATTTTATTTAACTTTGTCAATAAACATAGCCATAGAACATTTTTCTTCATATACCAGTTTTTTAAATGTATTGAATCATTTGTGAAACAAGCAAAAGTTAAAATAAAAAAAAGTAAATGTTTTAAAACTTAAGTTTAAAGAAAAAAATAAACATGTTGAGAAATATATTTGTTCTTTCATAAGCATGTTAGCTTTTTTTAAAGCATTTTTTATTATACTTTAAGCCATCTTGATTTTGGAGTCATTTAACTACCCAGCATTATTGGTCTTTCCAACATGCTCTTTCTCAAAGAGGAAGAAAAACCTCTGAATAGTTACATGCAAAATAATGTGCACTTTCACATTTTTTGGATAAAGCGATTGTGATTATTCAATTCTGTAAATACAGGAAACTCCAGAATTTTTGCTGGAACGTTTGTGCAAATTTATATATATTTTTTTTGTTATTGTATTATTATTGTTTCTTTTTTGGAGTTCACATTTGCATTAAACTGTTAGACACCCACGATGTTGAATCAATTTTATTAGTCTATGGTTTGTTGATATTTGAAAATTTTTGAAGTTAAAACAAATAAACAACTCAAACATAGGTTGACCAGTTTATTTAGCTTGTGTAAATTAGAATGGCCAGATAACTAGGCAAAGTAGATGTACAAAGAATATCATACCTAAGAGTACAAGCACAATACTTACATTAAAACTATACACATAGTTTTTAAACAAAAACGTGACGCATACACAACTAGTGATAAATAGTAGTACAATTATGCAAGAGTAAGCAAATGAAAGACATTAAAGAGTGTGATATGATCTAGTGCATGGTAAATCATTCTATTTACAGTCATTAACTAAAATTTTTCAATATCAGCGCATAAAATTTTCCAATGTGGAAAAGGATGATGAAAATGATGTTTGTAAATAGCATGCTCACTAAAACCATTGCACATGCTCCCTGTAAAAAATGCTAATTAAAAAAATATCTAATGAGTAAAGGAGTAAATGCTAAGTTTGATTGTTAGCAGTTTAAAAAGCATTTTTTGTCTGTCTTTCATTTCTTGAAGTCACTAGAACACACTAGGAGAGCCAGAAACTGTACATCCTACATGTTAATATAATGGTTACATCTGTCCCTTTCTATCCCAATACATTGCTTTATATATAGACTCGAATAAAAAAACATTTTAAAAAGATTTTTAAAAGTTTATCAGCTCTAAAAAAAAAGTATGATCCGATTTATATCCACACAGTCATCCAACAGCAGTTCCTGAGATATCCATACAGTTACTCAATAGCAGAATACAAGTGCTGATTCATCATGGAATGCATGTGTCAAACATTAAAATGTTACATGCGGTCCTCTGTGATGCTGGTTGTCATTGGTTGACTACTGCAACTTCCTGGGCTACATGACATCAGCTCTGTTGATGTATTATTAATAAATTAATCAATTTAAAAGTTTCAATTTCGTATCAATGCAGGAAAAATTACACATTGAAATGTGCAACTAAAATAAATCAATAGTGCTTTTTTGTTAGTACTTTAGGTGGCATGATGCTACATTTAGACAAAATGGGTAATTAACTACCTATACAACCAGCTATACAAATTTATCCAAAGTATATTAAACTTGTACAGCCATTGTCAGGTCTATTATTTGTGCTTTCTACGGACCACGGGTGTTATAAGACGATAAAAAATATACCAATAATTTTTAGATTAAAACTAATGCTGTATTTCAGATTACAGTAATACAATAAAAATATCATTTGCTTTGCTCATTTAAAAAATTAAATGCTATTGCAAGTGTTGGTTATAACAGAGAATTTAAACTGAGTTGCAACTTAATCAATATTCAACCCAATTGTTATTAAAATATTCATAGCTTACAAAACAGCTTCAATTTTAACAACCATGTAAAAAGAAAGCAGTGGATAAAAAGGCATGGTCTAAGAATATTGTAGTCAAAATTTTTAGATTACAAATGTATAACTATTATTTTACAGAGGGGATTAATTTTAAATTTGTTTCTTTTGTATTTTATGTAATATTAAAAAAAAAAGCTTTACTGAGTGACAGAAGTTGTAAATACAGATTTAAAATCTAGAGAACCTTTCATCAGTTTTTAATATTAATGTCACGAGGGCATAGTGAATATATAGGAATTGCAGTAAAAACAGTTAAATGTTTCAATATCTCTTATCCAGCATATCATTTGTGTTATTTTATGCTGCTAAGTGGTAAATATTCATTTTTCCCCCTGAAATAATGATTTTTATGTTTAATCCTTAATATGATAATACTGTTAGTGAACCTACTAAAACTTGTAAGTGGTTAACAAATGATTGCACCAACAACATAAAAAGAGTAAAACTTTTAAAGATATTCTCATGCAATAAAATGATTAACTCCAAACATCTACTTTAGGTAATTATTTCTTGGTTGGGTATACATTTGAATTCTCAGTCCCCACTTTGTCATGTGGGTGTGTGTATACAAGGAGCGGTAAACTTCACTTTTAAGTTAAAAAAATGTTTAAGTGTATATAGGGGAAGTCATGTTAAAGAGAATCTGAGCTTTAGTCAAAAGAATACACCAGTGAGTGTCGACAATTAGTTTTAGTGTATATTAACTAGCATTGCTTATAACCTTCAATAGTCTCTTTAATTTTAATGAAAACATCAAGTCTCAATTGTATGGGTCAATTAATTATGTTAGAGACTTGACAATAACTTTCCTGACCTCTGTTAAGTGACTCAGATAAATGATAATGGGAATAAGGTGATGGATGAGCTTCTGAACTTGCCAAGACCATAACGGTACTCTACATAACAGTAGAGCAGAGTTAATTCATCATTGTACATCAATTTTATTCCATCTAATAGATAATTCTAACAACAATCTGTTGTATCTTTCACAGAGAGGGTGTAAGGGAAGAAGAAAATGAGGGGGGTGGGGGGTGGGAGAAAGAGGGAGAATTGAATTATTGAATTACTTTAAAAATCATCCTAAATTTGCTTACATCACAGATAGGCGTTCTCATAGAGCTAAATGTGGAATCTAGTGACTCAGAAATAATTACAATTCTAGCTCAGTGAGAAAATATCTGTAAAAATAAAAAAAAAGGCTAACAATAAAAATAAATTATTAGCCACAGCCACTACAGTCAGCTATATATAACAATGGGGTTGAGCCAAGTATCTGAATAAAAGTTAGGCAACAGAGACTTACACTAATACAAAAAATAAAAAGAAATATCCCCCAACATCTATGACTTTATATGATGCAAAAAACATAAACCAGAATATAAAAAAATATTACATAATACATCAAATGATCTAGTAAATGAAAAAAATTAAAGAGTTCAATTTCATTAGTAGAGGCATGTCCAGCAATATGCCAAGCATCTGTGAATTGGTCACCAAGATCCTTAATGAATCATAACCTAGACGATAAATAGTTGAATAAACGACTGACGGATTTTTATTATCCTTACTTGTTAAGCCAAAGTTTATTTGCTTCTTTGTGTTATTTTGTTTAAATTTCAACATGAACAACCTCTATGTCGGGCTTTAAAAATCTTGAGCATCAGCAATAGGTTGTCAAAAATGGTTTTTAAAAAAAAAGGACTACAGCTAATAGAAAACTTTTTGCAATAGGTGTTTTTAAAAAAATGTGCTAGAAGCTAAGCTGAACATAGACATGCAACACAGATTATAGACCTGCTGGCAGACACAGTTTATTCTTACTGGTGATGCCCTAGTAGAGGAAAGAAAAGAATAAAACCATTGTTACAAATGTTATTTCTAAGTGGTCTTTTATTTTCAGCTTTAGTGATATAAGCACCAACTGGGCCAAACCAATATTCACTCCCTGGAAAAAAAACTTTTATAACAATATTGGAATCTAGATGGAAAAGCCACATCATGATCTAAGTATTGTACATTCATTATATATAGTACAATCTAACCTGTATCCTAACTGAACAACTTTTAAAACAACTTTCTCCACAATTAACTCAAAATATCTTAAAGTAGTACTGCTGATGAAAGATTTTTCCATGCAGATTAAAAAATAAAAAAAAAAATATTGTAATGTAATTAGATCATTTTGTATTATAAAGTAAAAAAATGTGTAAGAAACAACTAATCTCTCAAGGGTAAAAGGGGTGTCCAACCATGGACACTGAATAGAGACAAGCAATCACAGTCGTTTTTATACTTAAAAAAAAATACACACAACAACCAGTCTAAAAAAATAATCTGCTTTCAGTAAACACCCGTCATTACCAATCATTAATGTAAGTGATGTTTAAATTTTTAAGAATGTGAAGAACAAACATTTTAACGATTGTCGCTGCAGTATACTTTCAATAAAACAAGACTCCTGTTAGAATTTTGTTCAGACCAAATGCTAATTCTTTTCCATTTGCTTGATCTTTTCTATACTGAAATTAAAATCTGCCAAAATATACCCCATCACCACAGCAATGTGCAAGTCAAACTACATGCTAATTAGATATGTCACTCAGACTTCTATTAGAGTTGTAGAAATGCTAGATTGATTTCTACATACAAAATATATCCTTTAAAGCCATGTAAGTAAAACACGCCAAGAGTAAGCAAAAGGGATAAACTTTTAATTTAATAAATTTACTCAAAAGATAAATCATTAAAACTCAATTGTAAAGATTAACGTGTTCTACTCTAGACAATTTTAAAAAATATATTTTTATTGTTTTGAACAAGCCTCATCCAACTGAAATTAGTTTTTAGGATCATTATTAGTACACAAAAGGTTTATTTAAGCATTCAAAGTGCCAAAACTTTATGCTGATTATAAATTAAATAAATTAGAAATTATCAGTGAATGTTTAAAGTGAAGTAAGATGATAAACTGTTTTTAAACAAAAGAAAAAGAAGTAACTTTTCATCTAGATTTGTTTTGCATTTATAAAGTACAGATTTACTATAACTTTACTTTACCTGTGTATTATTGTATAAAACTTTTAAGATAAAAAAGTATGTCAATGGAAAGATTTACCTAAATTTTAATAAATTGATTATCCAAAGGGTAGAATTTTTGTGCTGTATAATTCTAGGTTTAGGTAAATGCTGGTTAATACATGCCATAAGTGAAGCAATCCCGCAGCAAATGTTAGAATGGTGTCTCGTCAAACTTACCCCTCCTACCACAGCAGAGACCTTATACTAATAATCTCTGCGAAAGTTATGATAAGGGCGCCTGTAATGGCTGCCAGATTGCTCTTCTTGTTGTTGGTGCTGAGCTGATGCTGAGGTATACTGTAAGACAATATGTCATCATGTCACTTAGACAAATAAATACTACTAATGTCAAGGTCAAGTCTCTATGTCAAAGGCAAATGAATCTTTTTGGTGGCTACACATTTGTATTTAGGTCGCAAATTTTTGCCAACATTTCATTATTTGTTTTATTATTTGTAGATTTGTTTACCATGATTTATTAACATAAATGCCTGAATTATTATTTTTAAGCAACTATTATTAGTGATAACTTATCCATCTATAAGGATCTTTGTGCATTGTATTAATGACTGAAATTTTTTAATGAATTATCTTAGGCATACGTTTTTAATAATAAGTGGCATGTAATTTGTAATTGTATAATTATTACTATTAGATCAAGAAAGTCTCACAAATGAAACTTCTTAATTTAAAACAAAATGTAACTGCAACCAATTGAGATTTAGATAACAGGCCCATATCACTGGTGTGACCAAATTTACAAACCGCTTTAAAGAAAAAGCTAGTAAGTGTCACAACATCAGATCTGAAACATGTCTAAAGATAAAAAAAAAAAACAACACTTTACTGTAAATATACCACAATACTGCACAAAGTGATAATAGTTATAATGTACCACAAAAGTCCACACTTTCACATTCAACTGACTACCACCAAAAACATAACATAAAAAGACCATAAATTTGTTACCATCATGAATGTCAGTACTGTTTTTCTAGCTAGGGACTTTCTACAATATCAATGACAAATAATAAATACAAGTGAATACGTTTGACATTCATTATTACATTGGAATTCCTTTTGAGAAAACTGCATTCAAATTATGATAAGCTAACTGAATAAAAAGTGCAGAAAGCCAAACAAAATAAATATTTGTGTAGAAAAGGATGGGTCTATAAAAAAAAAGGAATGGTGTTCCTTGGAAGGTACAACAACAAAACAAAATAGGTAACATTCCACTGCAAAGTATTTGCTGTGGTGATCCACGGTTTTAAATGAGATTCCAAATAAAATAACTTTCAAATGCCTTTAACATAAAGATTTTGGTCACAAATAAAATGAAAAGAAAATTAAACAAATAAATTAAACTCAACAAATCTGCTCCCATTAAAAAGCTGTTATCTTGTTAACAAATGTTATCCCTTGTATATATATGCATTTATCTTTAAATTACCAAACTAAGCTACGGAAAAATAAATAAAACAATAAAAAAAGCAAAGAATCTAAATGGTTTCTGGCTGGCTCACACTGCTGAAAAAAAGCTCGGAGTAAAAAAAAATGTTAGTTTAGCAACTCAGGGGTTGTCTTGATTATCATGCTATCAATTAAAAAAAAACACACTATACTAAAAAAATATTACTGAGCTCCTTGTAAAATTAAAATCAGAAGACAACTTACAAAAATCTTGCTTTAGGTCTCAGGTTAGACAATAGTGACCTGCATAAACAATAGAAGAAATAAGATTCTTACCTTTGAATTGCTCATTTTAGGATTCCTGGGTGCACCCTGTCGCCTTGTAGTTATATTTCTTCTCTCCCTGTCAAATTCCAGATCTTCCAACCGTTGTGTAAGAGCTAGCTTTTGCTGGATAGCCATGCGTAACAAAGAGTTGAGAGTTTTCTTTTCCTCTTCAGCAGCAGAGAGCTGCCTCTGCATCTCATCCAGCTGGGTGACATATTCGTCGCAGCGCTGAGCAAACATAGCTCTCAAAGATGCAAAAGTGGCGGCGTCTTCTTTCAATGACTTGAGTTCATTTCTCAGCTTCATCATTGTCTCTGTCACAATAACCTTTTCATTTTCATATTTCTGTTTCAGATTGGCCAGCGCCACTTCAGCTGTTGATTTGTTGGCCTTTAGAACTGATCGGAGGGTGGCTATCTGCTCACGTTTTGTAGACAGCATTGCCTTGAGTTTAACAACCTGTAAGTAGATCATCCAAAGGGTTAGATAATTTGTTTTTTACAATATTAGTTAAGTTACAATAATTTCATGAAGTAGTCAGATATCAGAACTTCAGCCATTTGGGTTGGCAGTTAAGTGTTTAAGTGTAACACCATGCAATATAATTAAATTAAAGGAGTAAACTAGGATTTCATATTTTTGCTAAAAAGATAAATAATTTTACTATAGGTTGTTTGAGCTAACTGGTTGCCGAACTATTAAATCCTGTACTTACCTGTTCCTGTAGTTCATGACGATCATCATCTCCATTTTCCTCCCCACCATCATTGCCTTGTTTCTGCCACTGTTTGGAAGTTTCCATTAAATACTCAATAGCACGGCGTAAGAACTTCACCTAAGTTTTGATAATGAAAACAAAAATTTATAAAAAAAAAAAACCAACAGAACAAACACTTATGATTTTTAAAATTATAAACATTGAACAGTTAATATGCATTGTGTTGAATTAACACTTGTGAAAACAACTTTGGTTAAATATTCTATAGAAAAAGGACCGTTTTTTAAAAAATACTAATGCTGAGTACCATTTGCAACCAGAAGCATTCCTAATACATTATTGAGACTTCTTTCTTCTTCTTCCTTCTTAATTTTTAGTGTTAGAAGGGATCGAGCCTATATGCCAGAGGGTTTGAACTCGAGACTTTTTCGAATTTCTCAACCATGAACTTTTTGCCGACTTGACCACGCCTCCAACACAATTAAGGATACGTGTCAACTGGTTATGCGCCATTGAAACCATTGACTCCGATTTCAGCCTGCTTTTCTTTTTGGATTTGCTTCCATAGCCTTTGTCCAATTAAGAACAAATTACAAGGCAGCAGTTGTTTTTATTGAGACAAAAAATAGTTTTTTTTTTGCTCTATAGTCAAAATTTAGTAGATGTTAAATAAAAAAAATTGTTGGCATGGACAAGATTTGATTAAAACAACTGGGTAGAGTTCTGATGAGTTATTGCGCTTACTTGATCAACAATAGTTTCAGACAAGGTTGAACAGGAGGTAGGGTCTGACTTGCTTGGACTTGACCTGGCTTTATCTTCACTTTTCCTTACAGCAACTTCATCTTTATTCTCCTTAAAGTATTTTAACGATTTGGGCCTCGTTAGATAGTGTTACAAAGCATTTTAAAGTTTATGTATAATATGTCATGCTAAAAGCTGAAAAAAATTTTCACATTCAAAATTGATGCAAAAACTTAAAAAAAAAAAATATAGTCCTACCTGGCTATTCAATATCACAGATTTATTTTCAACAGCTGGAGAAGATTCTTCGCTGGGCTCTCTCTCCCCTCTAACAACCCCACCTTTGGCATGATCCAACATGACTCGGGATGGTGTCTCGCCAGTCACCTGACACACCAGATGGTACAACTGAGCAAGGTCTTCTGTTATGCTGCTCAATTCCCCTTGAAGATTGTCTAGGCTGCTCTTTGCCATGCCTGCTGCATGTGTTGCAGATTTCAGATCACTCTCCTGATCTCTGATGGTCCGTTCATACAAGTCACACTTGTTTTTCAGCTCAGCTAGTGCCTAGCACAGACAAAACAGATCATAGCACTCTGGTTTTCTAGATTTCAACATTTTATGTTCAATACCATTTAAAAAATGATTTTAAAAAAGTACTTTTAAAATTTTAAGTGAGAATAGTTAAAGCAAAAAAAAAAAAAAAAAAAAAAAAAAAAAAAAAAAAAAAACTGTCTAATTTAATTCTGTATTGATTTAGAAAATATATTAATAACCTGTTTACAATATTGCACACAAGACCAACTTTTCATTTCTTTAAATAAAAAGAACAAAAACTTAATGTGTGAATTACCTGTTCAATATCTGGGTTGCCAACAATAGCATTTCGACTCTGCAGCCTACTTATTTCTGCTTGTAAGTTTCCTATTTCTCTGATGGCAGTGGTATACTTTTTTTCATTATGCTGTAAGTTCTGCTTGAGTTCTAGAAGAGCCTTTTTATCTGGATCTGTCTCTCCTGCAATTTCTGCCAGAAGTCCTTCATCATAGGATACCTGTGGACAATATACCTTTGCTAAAGACCACAATCATAACTTTTCAGAAAATGTAATAGTACCTGTAACTATTAAGATGATCAAAAATATTTACAGGTACCCATCTACAACCATAACAGAACATCTGTAAATATACAGATGTACTTGAGTTACTCTAAAATTTTATATTAAATGATAATATTTAAAATATTTAAATGCTCACAGTTAGGGAAAAGAGAATAGATAATGCAATACCTGTAAGTCATTGGGTAATAATTGCCTTTCATGCAAAGCCGCTACATGAGAAATTGTGGCCTTGAGCTGGTCTGCTCTTTCCTTCTGTTCAATCAGATCTTTCTGGGTCTCCTCTATCAACTTCCTTGCTTCATCTAAAGCTTTCTGTAGCTCCATCTTCTCACCTTCTGATTGCTCCAACAAACTTTCCAGTTTGCCCACCTCAGTTATCTAAAGTAACAAAATAAGTGCTTATAATGCAACATTAACTTTATGATTTCAGACTGAATTAATTAAAGTACACTAATGGCTATATTAATGAATAGACACATATTTAGACGTATTTACCTAAAATAAATAGTTCTAAAACACAATTTGCCTAAGTTATCTAAGTCTAATCCCACAATCATACCTGGATCTCACTCAGAATATCCCCAACTGTACCAGGTCTTGGTCCATCAATGGAATTCTTTTTAGTTGGAAATGAGAAGTCTGCTTCTATTCTCTTTAAAGCTGGGTGAACACTGCCATCCATGTCATCTTCTATAAAAAATGTTCATTAACTAGTTAAAAAGCTGGTTATAATTATCCTTTATTCTTTGTATCAATGAACAACATAAAGAATACACAACTTATGTGAAGAATGAGTATTTAAATTGAGTTATTTTACTACTAAGTTAGTTACTCTTTCTGGTGTTAAGTCGTTTTGTATTCTTTATGATCTTACTAAACAATTTTGAATCAAACACAAATAATTGGCCAAGTATATATATGCAATAACTGTGACCATGATGATGATTAAAATTAGCAAACCTCTGTCCCTGTCCAAATGAGTCGCTGATGGTACTTACCGTGATCATGATGGCTATTAAAATTGAGACCCTCGCTGAGACCACCCAAGTGAGCCAAGTTACTGAGATTGAACATGGACTCCTGAGTTATTCTCTGGTCTAACTCTTTCTTCAAGCTGTGCTTTTGCTCCCTTTCTTGAGCCAGTGAAGACAGAGCTTCCTCTAATTTTTTTTCTACTATGGCTTTAAGGCCAGCAAGTTCATCCAGTTGCATATTTAAATCTTCCAACTCTCCTTGCAGTCGAAGAGTTTCATGTTTACTTGACTCAAACTCCACCTGATTTTGTTTCAGTTGGGAAACCTGTGGCATGCAAGTTAAATTGGTAAGGTAAGTAAAAATCTTATGACATTTTACAAAGGAACAAAAAAAAAGAATACAGCTTTTAAAATTGTTTATGATCTAACTCTTTCAGAGTTACAAAATAAATGTTAATTATGTAATAGTATAGCTGAGGTTAAACATAGCAGTAATGTTTTGAAAGATTTGAGTTGAATTTACACTTTATACAGAATGAAAGCAATCTGCGTGGTTCTTTTGTGAAAACACATTAAAAAAAAACAAAAAACTATCAAAAAAAAAAAAAAAATTAAAGGGAGAAAAAAAAGGTTAAAAAGTCAAATGTATAAACCTGTTTCTGAAGTGAGATGTTTTCTTCCTCTAATTCTGCATAATCACTTAAATTTCGGTTCTCACGAATTTTGAATTCACGCAAATCATGGCGCATCTGTTGTCTTTGGTTTTCCAGGGTTTCAATCTGAAAGTAATCAAACAAAATTTTAATGTGATGCCTAAAGTTTATATAACAGTAACCCATATCATCATAATGGAAACTAAATTAATGAAAAAAAAAATCTTACCAAAACACTATAAGAAAAAAGATACAAAATTTCCCCTTGTCTAGCAAATAGAAAAGTAAAAACAGCAAATTTAACTACTTTCTCATACCTGTATCAAACTTGTTGACACCATTAATCAAGGTATTCAGTTATCATCATATAAAATATTCATTCAATATTTTCTATCTCTATATAGACCATATTTGCTTAACTCAAAACAAGTGTTGGAAATGTTTCTTTTGAATTCATGAAATCTAAAACAGAAGATACTAAATGCTAAAAAATGTTTAATATTGCTTGGCAACCAAAAATAAAAGCTAAGCATGTAGGATATTACAAAGAGTCTCTAACAGTATTATATCTGTTTCGTGCTTTTCATTTAGACAAAAATTCACACATACCTATTTTGTACTGCAAAATTACTTAAGCTGTTGGACAATAATTTTCAGTAACTATAAATTTTGCATAAGTTGTTTGAAAGGATAATGCTCATCTTTTACCCAAGAAAACAAAGATGAAAAATTAAAATGTTAGATTATTTGTCCTCAGCTAATTAAGCATAAAATAAATTACTCCATGTACCTGGTGATTTAATTCAGCTATTTCTGAGGCAAGGCGTTCATTTTCACCAGTCACCCGAAGAAAATTACTGCGAGTAGCTTTCAGATCTTGTTCCAGTTCCGTGATAGATGTCTGGTAATTTTCTTCTCTCTGAGCAGTTTCTTCCAAGAACTTTTCCTCCTGGTGCACACCACTCTCATGGTGCTTTTTAAAAGTACTCTGATGTTTCTTCAAAGCCTGAAGAATAAAACACCAAAAGTTATGTACAGTGAAAAAAAACCCACACCAAACTAGGCAAAGGTTAAAAAATAAATGTGTATAATTCTCTAAATATTCAACTTTTAAAACACTAAAGTTTTTGTATTACTAAATGCACATTTATGATACATGAGGTGTCTAATATTAAAAATTAAAAAGTTAGAACTATTTCTAACGAAAAACTTGGGCGTTACAATTATGTCAATAAATAGTAAAGATATCAGTTGACATGAGTACCTCTTGTTTTTGACAAGTTCAAATTTAAAGCTATCACTGCATCAGTCATTAGAACAGGAAAAGTATCTACTTTTCTACCTAAATCATTTTGGAACTAATTTTTAATAATTAGGTTTTAGCTATCTATGTTTATATATTTAGTTTTAACCAGCATCAAGAATTTTAATGAGGAAAACAGTAAATTGAGAATTTTATTTGTGTTGCTAATTGATTTTCTGTCCATAGTTATGTAAAAGGTTAGCTGGGCTCTAAGATGTATTAAAATGGTGCGATGCCACAGGATACTTTGTAACAGCACATAAAAAGACATGTAAATGAGGCAAAGTGGGTCAAAGAATGCAGGCAACTAATTAAGTTTATTCTCATGGGTGACGGTTATTAACTGACTGATCAACATTCCATTTGCTTTTTTGTGGTGCATTTTCATTTCATATACAGCCACAAGCCTATCTAAAAGTTGAAAAAAATCATAACTAATTACATATATTATTATCTAATATTGCCCAGTTAACTGAGATTAGAGCTCATTAGAACATCTAAGGATGCAAATTATAAGCACCATCACTGATGGATAAAGAAGAAATAGAGATGGACTCACTATCCCCCACCCCCTACATGTTCTTTATTTTATAAGCAACATTGTTTCTGTTAAATATGTGCAATGAAATAATTATAACAAAGAAATTATTCCTTTCATATTTGATTAAAAAAATTAATAAAGTTTTCTCCAATATTAGAGGTCATTTTTTTTTTGTAAACATAAATGTTAAAATTACCAACCCCAATCAGTAGTTATGCAGCTTGGAAATCTTTATTTAAAAAAAATATAACAGTAACAGGTAAAGCAAGGCAGGACATTTAGGAGTTTAAAAAAAAACATGACTCATAGATCTTCAGTGCACACCATACCACCTTACACTCTCTTAACTGTCTGTTTATTTTAACTCTAGATTTACATCTTATTTAATTAGGACGCAGCCAGTGTAATTTTGGTGACACCATTATGATAAAGTAAACATCCTGGTTAAACATGGAGGGGCTTAGTATGTGTTAAAAACTAATTTCAAAGAGGTGATAAAGGTAGACTATCCTAAACTTTTCATTCATATTTACTCAAAGCATGTAGCTACTGTAAATACAAAAAATTCCTTTCAAATGTCCTCTCATCATTTTAAGGCCAGAGAATTTTAGCTGAAATGTATGGTGGCAGAACATGTGTTAATTTGAATATTTATTCTTTTTTCTTACTTGTTTTATTTTATTTTTTCTTAAATTATTTTTCTGATAATTAACGTGACCAACTTTAATTTGCAGGAAGTCTATGACTTCTATACCTTAAAAATAAATAAAAATAATACTAAATACAGCCCAGTAATAACACTTATTGCAATTAACAATACTTATTGCAATTAACACATAGCAGGCAAATTCTAGTAGTGACTATGCTTGTTAAAACCTACCAAAAAAAATGGGCAAGGGCAGATAAGTGAACACTTAAACCCTAAACATACTAGGCTTCATTGAAGTATAATGAAGTATAAGCCAAGTGTTCAGTTAAAAAACAAACAGGACATTGGGCCTAACTTTAACATCATTCACAGTGGCATAGGTCTTAAGATAAATAAAGAAAAGACAGTAGTAAAAAGAACAAACAATAACCATCAGGCCCCAGTAACAATAGTAATTATAGTAAGACATGTAAAGGATGTGGAAGACTTTGTCTACATTGGCAGCAAGATAATCAGGAGGCACAGAATTAATACAGCCTAATATGCTTTCATTTTCTGCTGTCCATGTGGAAAAATTCTGCCATAGGGGTCGTCCATAAATGACGTCATACTTGTGGGGGAGGGGGGGGGGGGTAATTTTGTGTCGGAGTGTGATGAGGGGGAGAGGTTAAGTTGCTGCGATGTCACACTTTTGCATTATAAGCAGTTAATGTTAGAAAAAGAATTTTAGACGTTATTTCGCGTTTTAGTAAACTATTTTAATAAATTACAATAGGAATAGATTAAAATACTCCATTTAACAGAGTTCAGTCAAGATTTTAGAAAAATATCGATGGTTTAAAAAAATTCAACTGCAATTTTGAGGGGGGTTGTAGGCTGAGGACGTTATTTTAAGGGGGGGGGGGGGGGGGGGAACTGGCTTTTTGTGACGATGTGTGACAGAGGGGAGGTAAAAATCGTCAAAAAAATGTGACGTCATTTATGGATGACCCCATATCCAACACAACAAAAATCAGGGTTCTAAATTTAAATGTTAAAGCTGTTTTATTATATGGATATTGGAGCAGAGAGAGTCTCCAAGAACAGCACAGACAAGGTACAGACATTCATTAAAAAAAGTCTCAGACAGATTCTGAAATTGAGGTGGCAGGACAAAGTGCCTAATATTGACCTATGGAGATTGACAAGACAGGAGCCCATGACAGTGTAAATAAGAGGAAGTGGCGCTAGGTGGGTCACACTCTGTGAAAGGCTCACTCAAGTGTGACATGACAGGCGTTTGATTGGAACCCTCATGGAAAGCATAAGACAGACCTGGAGGAGATGTAGAGCATTATGTCCTGTTGCCTTTGTTTTCCTAAAGTACTAAAATTAAATGCAGATTAATAAGCTGATGATATGAAAACCTCTCCTAAAGTAATTCTTTTAACTATATTGTTTAATAGTTCATATTTCTGAAATTGCAAAAATGGTTTGAAACGAAAGTATACATTTTCATGTTAACTGTTGACTACCCGCCTCATATTTGGTTACATCACAAATTTCTCATATTTGGTTACATCACAAATTTAACTAAGTGAATCACTAACATTTGGTCCATTTAACTGGCTCCATATGTGGTTGTTATTAAATAATACTCAAATAGTTCATTAACCGAGAATCATCAAAATATATAAATCCCTATTTTAGCACTTAAATAAATCTGAGCCTAGATTAGTACATAAATATGATTGGCTTTTCAGACTTTGTACAAGCTAATCAGATTGCTTCAGTTAACATTGGAAGTTTAATGGTGGCTTCCATTTAAAGTTTGCTTTGTTTTGTTTAATGCAAGTCATGTGGCCTAGTATGCACTATAGGATATTTTCAGCTGAAGTTGATACGTCCAGTATTGACAATAATAAAATATATATGGGTCTAGTGATTCTGAAATTAAACAGTTAAGTGGTGCAGGATATATTGGCCTTAGTGTTAAAATTAAAATAAAACAGCCAAAAATTTTAACCAACGCCAACATAATCTTCTTTTTAACACTACATGTAAAGACACCAAACCAGTTAAACAAACTAGCTACTCTATAACATTCATTTCTACATATATATGCATCAGAACAATTGTTTGCTGAGCCTCTAATGTCTAATGAAGTGTAGTGTACATCCCACCTCCTAAGGCCACAGGCTAAGGCGTAATAATTTATTTTTGAACAAATGATAAAAAAAAACATTCAGACAAAATCAATGTAGGCTAACACAAGAATGCAACAGATAACAAAAATCAAGCTTCTGTAGTAAAGAGTGTGTAGCTTTAAATTACATTTGGCTAGCAGCTCCAGTTGTTTAAATTTAATATTTAGCCTGCAATATTTTTTTCAAGAATGGCCTAGATCTTGGTCTACGTTCATTTTAAAATAAATGGATTTAAATTTGATTTTTGTTAGCCAGCTAAACTTGCAAAGAATAGGAAAATGTTAGGCCTAATTCAATAAATAATTTTGATCTAGATGTAGAAATCTAGTTTCTAATAAATTTAGTGAGACAACCCTTTGTTGGGTCAACAAACTTGTCCAACAGGTTTGATGTTAACTTTTTCAAGTGAAGTACAACTTGGTAGTACAGGTCTAAGAAAACTCAGCTAAGAAAGTTTTGTAGTCTTTGTTTAAACTTATCTGGGATAATTTAACAACTACCTTCAAAGTAAAACAAAATACTACCTCCTTAGCACATTCCAATTCCTGTCGAGTTGCTTCCAGATGAGCCTCAAGATCTTCATACTGTTGCTGAAGTTGTTGCTTTTCATCCAAAACTGCCAGTCCGTATTCGGCTGCTTGTAACTTTTCCGTAGTGGTTTCACTTAGCTCTTTAGTCAGCCGTTCAACTTCATTTTGTAATTCTTCGACACTTGGCGGTGAGACAGAAATAGATGCCATGACTTCAGTTTTGAGTAATTAGACCTACGCTACCATTAAAATAACCCGTCGATAAATTATAGTATCATCCATTTCGTACTTAGGTAGCCATATTTTCCCCTCTATTTATTATGCAGCAATGTCAATTGTCACGTGACAGGACACATCTTCCGCCGAAACCCGAGGGAAGTTTAAATAAAACACATTATTATATTTTAGATCCCTATCTCTAGATCTAATATAGATCTTATAGATCTAGAAAATTGCACTACGATGCAAATAAGATAAAACATGTTTAGATCTAATTATTATTAATTATACAATACATTATTATATAGGGCATATGGCATATATAAGATCTATATAGAATCTATAAGTTGAATTCTCTGTTGGACAGCGGATCCTTGATAACAAAGGAAAGTTAGAACATAATATAATAGACCATCATCATAGTCATATCATAGTGTTATAGTTATACGTCTAAAATTCATGATTTAAAAAATAATATTTAAGTAATTATTAATTTTTCAACTTTAAAGACATAATTGTCGGCATGTCCATCAATCAAAATTAAAGAAAATGTATCACCCTTGACAAAAATTCTAATTGTGTCATTTACATTCTATTTCATTTAGTCCTTTAGCACTCATTACCTCCCTTGATAAATTAGGAAAACACATTTTTTTTTACTTTCTCGTATATACGTAGTATAGAGAAAGTATTGTAATCGTGCAAAAAAAAAAATCGAGATTTTTACAAATCTCGACGTTTTACACCTCACTGATACGGAAAAACATAATTTTGCAATCTTGTCCGTATGTCTGTGTGTGTGTGTGTGTGTGTCTGTGTGTGTGTCTGTGTGTCCGTGTGTAAACACGATAACTTGAGTACCGTTACAGCTAGGTTGATGAAATTTCATATATAAGTATTATATCAAAATCGTAGATCCGTATCAACTTTTGAGCGATTTCCGACAAACGGAAGTGGTACTTTTTCTACTTTGAATTTTTCAAAAGCCTATAACTTGAGTACTATTTCAGATAGATAAATGGAATTTCACATGTAAGTAACAGATCTAATTCTCTACCTTCTGTTAAATTTTGAGTAATTTCCGTTGACAGGAAGTAGTAATTTACGCTACTTCCGATTTCTCAAAAAACTAATGTAAATTTATTAAGTACTAATACTATTGCGCACTATTATACACACCTTTATTAGGCGTTCGCTTGGTGCGCAATTGTTTTTTACTGAGATTCTATTCTATTTTTAAAAGTTTCAGTATTTAAAATGGATTAAAAATCATAACTATATCCCCAGTTACCATCCCCTGTTGTTTTATATAAGAATATTCGAGAAAGTTTAGGGGAGATCACTACCGGTTTATTTCCCTTTATAAAAAAACATTACATCGGAGAAAAAAACAACTTTTTATTATTTTGTTTTGGTGTTGGGAAAAAAATAATTACATAATTAGCATGGATTGATCAAGTGCAATTTGGTAGGCATGTAAATACTTCCTTTTATCTATTTTATACAGTAAAGTTACTGTTTTTAATCAAAGACACTTGACGTTAAAAAAGACATCTTTATTCGGGAACTGGCATTCCCGCAGGTTATTATCTGTGTATTTTTTTTTGCGCACGCAAGGCAATTCGGTTTTTGTCTGTCTTTTTTGCAAACGAAGGGGAATTCGTTTTTGTCTCGCGCACCAAACATGATAATGTCGTCTTTATTAATCTCACCATAGTGCGTACCATTTTTACTTTCTCGTATATACGAAGTATAGAGAAAGTCTTGTAATCGTGCAAAAAAAAAAAAAATCGAGATTTTTACAAATCTCGACGTTTCACACCTCACTGATACGGAAAAACATAATTTTGCAATCTTGTCCGTATGTCTGTGTGTCTGTCTGTGTGTCTGTCTGTCTGTCCGTGTGTAAACACGATAACTTGAGTACCGTTACAGCTAGGTTGATGAAATTTCATATATAAGTATTTAATCAAAACCGTAGATCCGTATCAACTTTTGAGCGATTTCCGATAACCGGAAGTGGTACTTTTCCTACTTTGAATTTTTCAAAAGCCTATAACTTGAGTACTATTTCAGATAGATAAATGAAATTTCATACGTAAGTAAAAGATCTAATTCTCTACCTTCTATTAAATTTTGAGTCATTTCCGTTGACTGGATCCGAAGTAGTACTTTACGCTACTTCCGATTTCTCAAAAAACTAATGTAAATTTTAAAAGTAATAATAATATTGCGCACTATTATGCGCTTTTTTATTTGGCGTTCACTTGGTGTGCAATTAATTTGTCTACGAGATTTTATTCTATTTTTAAAACTTTAAGTATTTAAAATGGATTAAAAATCATGTCTATAGCCCGAGTTCCCATCCCCTGTTATTTTATATAAGAATATTCGAGAAAGTTTAGGGGAGATCACTCCCGGTTTATTTAAGCAGAGTTTTTAAAAGTATATTTAGCAGTGTAAAGTTTTACTACGTTTCTCGATTGTAAAGGCAAGATCGAAAAAACAATTTCTTTTAAGAGCCATGTTTATGTTTTATACTAGCCGTCCCGGCCAGGCCCTGCTCTGGCTTCTGTGAAAAACCTTTTTGTTAAAGACCGTTACCTGTGTGTTTAGTAATCATCATAAACCCGGCATTGCCCACCCAAACCACAACCAACCAAAACAACAAAACGCAAACATAACGCTAGCACAATTACAAATACAAACAAAAACCTAACAACAAACCCAACCACAATCACAAACACCAATACAAACACAAAGAAAAAACAAACAAAAAAGCAAACGAAAACAAAAACCTAACAACAAACCCAACCACAACCACAAACACCAGTACGAACACAAAGAAAAAAACAAACGAAATCCAAACGCAAAACCAACCACAAACACAAACTCAAAGAAAAAAACACAAACGAAAAAGCAAACGAAAACAAACCAAATCCAAACGCAAAACCAACCACAAACACAAATACAAACACAAACCCAAAGAAAAAAACACAAACGAAAACGAAAAAAGAAAGAACAAAAACGAACCAAATCAAAACGCAACCACTAACGCAAACCCAACCTAAACACAAAGAAAACACTAACGCGAACATAAACGCAAAGTGCTCACAGTCTAGCCCGGGGCAGAATCGCCTGTTTCAGCTTAATAATCGACTGTAGTACCCCAACTTATTCATAGTCTTTTGCACTCACTTAAACGAACGTAGGTGCCAAACCAAACCAAATGAACAATTATAATACTCCAAGCTTATTCGTAAAATACCTACAACATTTGCACTTGATCAATTCCCGCTAATTATGAATTATTTTTTTCCCAAAACATAAATATACAATAAACAATAGGCAGTATTTAAAATATCCGTGTTTTACCTACCATATATCACTTTGTCAATTCACGCATTTTTTTCCAGTACTCTAAATTTTAAAAATTTACAATAGTTTCATAACTAAAACTATTGCGCACCCAATGAACGTGATGACGTGTCTATGATAGTGCGGAATAGTTGATTAAAAATTAGAAGTAGTAAACAGTACATTCAGTGAATAAAATAAATAAAAGATTGCCTTTTATCAGTCCATGCTAATTATAATTTTCTAACAATAATTTCCTCTTCCACATCCGTACAATTTGCATTCATATTTTGCTAATTATATGTAACACATATGGTTACCAGCCAAGGGGGATAAAAATATGAAGTTTTAATTCATTGAGTTGCGGCCCCTGTGGGGTCGTGGCACTTTGACTTAGTTGTTTTTTCATGCTTTTGTGAGCGATGTTACCTGTGTCCCATGTCATGTGACATGGGACTGTGGGTAGTTTCATGCCTAGCCGTGTCAGTCACACGGAAGGCTGCTGTCTGTGGACACGGTGACCAAGATGTAGACCTAATGAAGGTACTGTAGTTACATAAATTATGTTTGTTATATTACTTATTTGTGTATTCCTGCTAGTGCTGCATGTACACACTAGTTAGGGTGAGTATTAATATAAATATTTATGTGTAGTACTACTTATTGGTACTTGTTGGCAGTACTGTGTACTGGCCGAAACATATTTTATTGTACCCGTGTATTGTAGCTTACACGTGGTGTTGTCATAAATGTAACTTTTTATTTACATTTGTTTTAGGGCTACAGTTTTTTTTTCTTGGCTAGTTTGTTTTCTTGGTTTCCCGTTGCTTCAGTATTTTCCCTCGTCGTACTACTGTGCTGCATCGTCGTCATGGCTCGATGCTGTGAATAAAGGAGTACTTGACAACAACTGTCGGTGTGTTCTTAATCTCAGGGTCAGCCCGTCTTAACCACAACACCTCAGTGGGTAAAAGCATCCCCACTGAGTGAGGGTTACATATATTATAGCAACACCAATTCCTTCTAGGACGCCCGTAGATTTGCATTCACATTTTTTTAATTAGCGTGAGTTTAATTTATTTTTAAATTACCTCCCTTATCAAAATTAGAAAAAAGAGTTAAATTAATTTGATTTTTCTACCCTACTGTTATTATGTTATTAAAATGTATCCACTTTTTCTGGGAATATATACGAAAATGATATTTGACATTAATCTTTTTAATATGTTTTAGCAGTGTGCGTGTATTTAATATTTTCTTAACGTTATGCGAAAAAGTAAAAACAGTGGCATTTATAAAATAACCTTATGTAGCTATATAAACAAACTCTACTCTATTTCTTAAAATAAGACGCTGCGATTCACTGAAAATCACTGCATGGTGCGATGATTACTTTTTATAATTAGCAATGACAGAAGGAAGGAAGGACAGACACAGCCCGCTTATATGCAGAAAATAATAATAATAATCATTAAAAAAGTTAAAAAAAACCCACGTTTTCTGATTGAACTAAAATGTAGAAAATAAATGCTATACATCACAATAATGAGCAAGCGATCACTCTACTATAAGCGATGAAAAACGTGGGGCGCCGAAGTAAAAGTTATATTACTATTGATTAGATAATACTATTGACTTTTATTAGGGAGCTTGTAGAGAGTCAACAGTATTAGAAACTGTAAGAAAATCACGGCGCCCCACGTTTTTGATCGCTTATAGTAGAGTGATCGCTTGCATTATTGTGATGTATAGCATTTATTTTCTACATTTTAGTTCAATCAAAAAACGTGGGTTTTTAAAAACTTTTTTAATGATTATTATTTTCTACTTTTTAGTCTTTGTCTGTTTGTTTGCATTAAAATCTTGCTATCGATTTTATCTTTTCACTTTTTTTTTTGGGTAAACGAAGACAACTCGTAAAAAGACAACTCGTAAAAAACACGTTGTGTGAATACGTTACTGACTAGAACACATAGATTTGAACCCGTGTCGAGTGGGATAGCAATCGTGTGCCCAACCACTCGACCATATCGTCTCCCCCATACTGGCCACCAGTTGTTACGGTTGTTTGTATACAAATTACAGTTAATGGGTTATGTCCCTTTTTCCCCACGTTTTTACTACAATGAGCCGACCCACGGCGTATCATACGCCGCTATTTAGTTGATTTATTTTCTACTTTTCAGTAATTCATAATTTGTGAATTCGACAGTACCAATGCTGCCACTGAAAATATTTGCTTTAAAACACTAACCCCCCTCCTTTCCCCTAACCCCGACCCTACACCCCCCCCCCCCCGTGAAAGCAGCCTCCTCTTAGTTACCTCCTGTAAGTTTAAAGTCGGTTCAAACGAAATTATCTGCCCCTAATAGCCGTCACTAAACCTGGCTGTACGGTTTGTAAACATTAACGTGACCACAGCTCAGCAGACCATGTGGGGGTGGGGTAGGGTGGTAGTGAAAGTGATAGAGAGAAAGAGAGGGGACTGTAAGGAGGCGCTTGCAGCTTGTTTTCTAATGGCCCGCAGAGGAGAATTATATATATAGATTATATAGCGGTCTAAAATGCTCAATACAATGTTTCCATGGATCAATTTAGTAATAATAACAATTGAATATTCTAATGTCATCCAAAACAAAGCTTCCCTGAAAATTTCAGCGCGCTAGCTAACTGGGAAGTGCCAGAAATTTCGATCGCAAGATTTGATTGGAAAGACAAACAAACAGAGACGAAAGCAAGTTAAAGAAAACGTGGGAAAAAAATAGTTCAATCGATGGTTGTTTAATTAACCGCGGCATCCGGTCTCATCCCAGTTGTTGCCGCAGTCGTTGTAGCGGTCACATATCCAGGTCGCCGCAATACAGCGGTGGTTGTCGCACTTGATTTCACCGTCAGGGCACACGAATTTCTCTGTAAATATATGACAGAAGTGTTATACTAATTTCATGCATTTTCCGGCTTTAAAAAAAAACCACAATGCTACATTGAGGATTAGGGATAAGATTATCAGAGACAGCGTTTTTTTGGCAGTTTCTTTCAGGCATCTCTTCAGGAGAGGGGGGGGGGGGGGGAGTCTACCGCCCGCCATCCATTTCCATGAAATAACAAAGTATATTTTAAAAGATACACTGGTTTCTAGCTTTCAAAAGACAAGTATATTACACTGATGCTTATACTATTAAAGAAAGCGTTTTCTGGTTTTCAAAAGTATACGAAATTTAGCCTTAAATATTTTCTGACAGGAAATGTCGAGGATCACATGTTCTACAATTTGGTATGTTGATGCTAAAGTAAAGTAAATCAGGAGATGTTTATGCTAAGAAATAGTGTAAGACAAAAGATGTTTAAGCAAAGACTGTTTATGAAAAAGGATTCTGAAGTTCACTATGCACAGCCGCCTTTGCTTTCCCTAAGGTGAGTTAGGTATCTATTAGAGCTGGGTGGACTCAGGGATGTTCTACTGACTTTAACCTGGATTCGAACGCGAAACTTTCCGGATATCAGTCGCGCTCTACCGCTAGGCCTTGCTATCGCGTGAGCTCCTAGGATACCGTCATGTACTAACCAGCAAGAAATAAACAAACAAACAAACAAACAAACAAAAATCATACCGCAGTTTTGTTCGTCTGACCCGTCGGTGCAGTCGTTGATACCATCGCAGACATAATCAATGGGCTTGCATTCGTTTCCAGAGGTACATTTGAACTGGTTGGCGTGTGAGCAGTTAGTTGCTGTAAGGATGAAGAGGGTGGATGGTCAAGCTAAATGTTTAGACAGATAGGTGATTTTAGGTAGGTGATCAAGTTAAATATACGGTGCCCTGTCAAAACGGCCCGGGACAAATCGGCCCCGTCAAAACGGGCCCGTTAATTTGACCCCGTCAAATCGACCCCTGACAAAACGACCCAGTCAAAATAGCCCCGTTAAAAGGGCCCCGACTTATTGTCTCCCGTCAAATGGGCTCCCGCCATATTGACTTGCGACATATAGGCTCCCGACAAATGGGCTCCCGATATTTAGGCTCCCGACAAATGGACTCCCGACATATTAACCCCTGACAAATAGGCTCAGGACATATTGGCTCCCGACAAAGCGGCTCCCAACATATTGGCTCCCGACATAAGGGCTCAAGACTAATGGGCTCCCGGCAAATGGTCTCACGACATATTGGCTCCCGACAATTGGGCTCCCGACATATTGGCTTTTGACAAAATGACTCCCGACATATTGGCTCCAGACCAATGAATGGCATGACCACTATTGGCATAAAAGTAACCATTGCGTCTGTTATGGTCAGTTGACGTCTTTCTGTTGGGAACTAGCCATAACACAATTAAAAACAGAGTCCAACGTTCGTTAATCACAATAAAATATAATCTTTCAAGTACAACCGAGAAACAAGATAACTTTCAACTACAAAACACTCCTCCTTCTTAAGACAAACTCAGGTTACGCTCTGCTGACCATATCACACACTGCTTACACACGTCTTTTTCTCGCTGACACACCACTTACAAGGGGAGGCCACCCTCACACACACTTTATATAAACAAATACATCACACCTCCCCCCTTAAAAAATAGATTTCTTCTTTTCATTTGGTGAAATCTTTTTACAGTAGTTACCCTTTCCGGGGTTATATAAATGAGAAATGTTGAAGAAATCTATTACATGATGATAACTGAAAGCTAGAAGCTATACCTATACTACAAATTCGTACATCATTCTAATTTTGGAATAGTAGGCCATCCAACTCTCTTAGGTATTGTTTTAGCCTTCGTTTCCTTTTTGGCTTCTCTCCGTCAAACCAAGACCTAACTACAAGACAGCATTTCTAAGGTCTATCCTGCACAACTACTTAATAACATGAACAGTAAAAATGTTAATACAATATTTACTTGACCTTTTACCTGCTTTTAATCTCCCTATAAATAAATGATGGCGGGTAAAAATTATATCTCTACAATAAAATGTTGGACGTAAGCATGAATTAACTACTTATAGGGAAATATAGCTTTATACGTCTAGTCTATAAGTCAACAAGGTTTTTTAAAAAACATTTGTCATTAATAAAGCATTTGAATTGAATCACAAGACATCAGAACAATGTTACTTTCCTTTCGTTTTATGAAGTGAGATATACTGAAATAAATCTAGTCAATGATGACAATGAAAACTAGAAGCTATTCATAAAATACAAGTTCGTACACCACTCTAATTTTGGTACAGTATTCTGGCTCTGGATGTCGATCTGGATCTCACTCTGGCTTTGGCTCTGGCTCTGGTTTTGGCTCTGGCTCTGGTTTTGGCTCCGGCTCTGGCTCTGGCTCTGGTTTTGGCTCTGGCTCTGGTTTTGGCTCTGGCTCTGGCTTTGGTTCTGGCTCTGGTTTTGGCTCTGGCTCTGGCACGGGCTCTGGCTCTGGCACGGGCTCTGGCTCTGGTTCTGGCACGGGCTCTGGCTCTTGCTTTGGCTCTGGCTCTGGTTTTGGCTCTGGCTCTGGCTCTGGCACGGGCTCTGGCTCTTGCTCTGGCTCTGGCACGGGCTCTGGCTCTTGCTTTGGCTCTGGCTCTGGCACTGGCTCTGGCACTGATGTTGGCTCTGGCTCTTCTGCTCAGCTCTGGCTCTGGAGTCCAAACATTTTTGTTTCGATCCTGCTATCTTGACATCACAGTCTTTAACTAAGATTAAAGTCTCATTTGAAAAGACTATGAACTTGATACTGGATTAAAGTTACCTTCTGCTCAGCTGCCCTTGACCTAGTTCTCCACTCTGTTGACTTGTTGCCTAGATTGCGTGTCTGGTTGACTAGGTCTTCTGCAAGTGGGACAGTAGCTAGAGCTTTCATGTTGGTGGCGACGCAATGATTTGCTTCTGATGTGCCCAAGGACTGAGATGCTAATATTGTAGCTCTAAAATTTGATAACTTACTTGATATGCTAATGTAGTCAACTTTGTAGCTAGCAAGTTCTCTCAACTTCTCTCCTAGCTTTATCACTGTATTTTTAACTTCATTATTTATGGCCATGATGTCTGCAGCACTGTTCACAAGTTTTGTGGCTGTTGATACTAAGTCTTTTCCGGTCGGCGATGACTGCTGCCGTTAATACTACATATTTTCTAGTCGGCTGTAACGCTGCCGTTGATACGAGACATTTTCTAGTCGGCTGTAACGCTGCCGTTAATACTAGATATTTTCTAGTCGGCTGTAACGATGCCGTTAATACTAGAAATTTTCCCGTCGGTTGTGACACTGCCGTTGATACTAGAAATTTTCCAGTCGGTTGTGACGCTGCTGTTGATACTCGACATTTTCCTTTTTGTCTAGGGGTAAAAACTTCTCAAAAATCTTGTTGTTTCAAATCCCGGACGAGCCCCCACTTGTTATGGTCAGTTGACGTCTTTCTGTTGGGAACTAGCCATAACACAATTAAAAACAGAGTCCAACGTTCGTTTATCACAATAAAATATAATCTTTCAAGTACAACCGAGAAACAAGATAACCTTCAACTACAAAACACTCCTCCTTCTTAAGACAAACTCAGGTTACGCTCTGCTGACCATATCACACACTGCTTACACACGTCTTTTTCTCGCTGACACACCACTTACAAGGGGAGGCCACTCTCACACACACTTTATATAAACAAATACATCACAGTGTCCTACCTCCAATACCTCCGTAGTTTTGTGACGATGTGTGATGAGGGGGAGGGGGGGGGGGGGTTCAGATGTTGCCACGTCACATTTTTGCATTATAAAAAAGCAATGTTAGAAAACGAATTTTTGACGTTATTTTGCGTTTTAGATAACTGTTTTAATAAATTGTAATAGTTTAGACAAGATTTTGGAAAAATATCGATGTTAAAAAAATAATTCAACTGCAATTTTGAGGGGGGGGGGGTTTAGGTTGAGGTGTGACGTCATTTTAGAGGGGGGGGGGGTCTGGCTTTTTGTGACGACGTGTGACGGAGAGGAGGGGGGGGGAGGGGAGGTAAAAATCGTCAAAAAAAGCGTGACGTCATTTATGAATGACCCCAATTTACAACAGAAAATATCTGTTGCTTAAAAGCGAGCACAGAAGTGTAAATGTATGATATACATGATGTTTACATGATAACAGCATTTTGTTTTGATAACCTACAAGCATACTGCAGTTAAGAAGGACCCTTCTCCCCACACACTGAGTTGGAACAGCCTATAACCGACTCAATTATGGATATCATAGATAGATGACCCTTAAATTAAAACATACTATATTTTATAATAGATAAACTAATATAAAAATAAGGCCTGCCGAATTAGAGATGCATACGTTGTATTACATAAGAGTGTAGGATAAGCTAACTCTAAAGAATATTGATGAAGGGGTCCCACTGGCAGGTGTCATATTCAGTGACCGGGAGACTTAGTCTCTACAGAAACGGTATTGTCAGTGCAGTGGCGTAGCTAGGATTTTTGGGCCCCTATGCAAAAATTATCAGTGGGCCCCTTCGTCAGCCGTTAGGCCAGTGGCGTCGCTAGGTCGGGTGTCACCCGGTGCGGCTCTTCGTATTGTCATATATATATATATATATATATATATATATATATATATATATATATATATATATATATATATATATATATATATATATATGTGTGTGTGTGTGTGTGTGTCGGCCTACATAAAAGTTATATAATAATATATATGCCACATACTGGTACACATACGTGTTTAAGCTTTAATCACTGCAGACTTAATAGTAACGATGTTTATCTACGGTCTGTTTATAATACAGTTGGATGTAGCATTGTTTTCTTTATAGTTTACGTTTACGTCGTGGTGTCACCCCCCCCCCCCCCCTCTTGATATAATTTTCGATTTTTACTTAGAAGACTATTTAACTTTAACTAATGGATCTGGAAAAATGGCATTTCATTCTATAAATTTTGTAACTTTTTTGCCTTTGGTGTCACCCCCCCCCCCCTAAATGGTGTCACCCGTTGCGGTCCGCACCCCCGCCCCGCCTTCGCTACGCCTCTGCGTTAGGCTACAGAGGAGTTAAACGAAGAGATCAACTTCTACTTGCGATGTATATTTTTTAATATATAAATATTCTGAAGGCAACATTTTGTATTTTATATGTCCTGATTATGTATTTATACTATATTATTATGTTTGCCTACTACTGCTAAAAAGTTTATTTATAGGCTGATTCTCTCAATGTCTTACACGACAAAGTGATATCGCCTGTAGTGTTATTATAACGATTGGGCTCTGTTTGACCCCCCCCCCACACACACACACTGAATCCCACTGCCGAAACGGTGGGGGGGGGGGCTTTTTGGAACTTTTAACCTTTTTCTTTTTTAAAATTATTTATATGTAATAAATATTAAAATTCCATTGTAAAAGTTTTAATTTTGTATGCGGGAAAAGGGCCCCTATGTGCCTTGGGCCCCTATGCCTTGCTTACGCTAGCTTTACGGTAGCTACGCCACTGTGTCAGTGGTCCTTTTGTCTGGAGCCAAATTGACAGGAGCCTTTTTGTCGTGAGCCAAAATAACGCTAGCCTATTTGTCGGGAGTCGTAACGACGGGGGCCGTTTTGTGGAAAAAACTAAATGACGGGAGCCTATATGTCGGAGCCAAAATGACGGGAGCCTATTTGTCAGGAGCCTTATTGACTGGAGCCCTTTTGTCGGGAGCCTATATAACGGGAGCCTATTTGTCGGTAGCCTAAATGACGGGAGCCTATTTGTCGGGAGCCTATATGACGGGGTCCATATGTCGCTGGCCCTTTTGGCGGGGCCGATTTGACGGGGTCGTTTTGACGGGGCCGTTTTGTCATTGGCCGTTTTGACGCCTATATAACGGGAGCCTATTTGTCGGTAGCCTAAATGACGGGAGCCTATTTGTCGGGAGCCTATATGACGGGGTCCATATGTCGCTGGCCCTTTTGGCGGGGCCGATTTGACGGGGTCGTTTTGACGGGGCCGTTTTGTCATTGGCCGTTTTGACGCCGAACGACCCACTTGATATCCAAGCGATTTAAAAGGTTGTCTTTTTCGGACAAGTGTCACGATTCTACTTTCTTATCTGAGAATAAAATACTTAAAAAAAAACTTTTAAAAAAACCACGTTTTTCTTGTGGACTAAAAAGTAGAAAATAACTATTTACATACATTTGATGACAAAAAACGTGGGTACGTTCAACATCAAATTTCCCGACCCATCTGCCCGACCCACGTTTTTTGTCATCAAATGTATGTAAATAGTTATTTTCTACTTTTTAGTCCACAAGAAAAACGTGGTTTTTTAAAAAGTTTTTTTTTAAGTATTTTATTTTCTCCTTTTTAGTCCGTTGCTACACATAAAAACGTGGTTTTTAAAAAAGTTTTTTATATAGTTTATTTTCTACTTTATCTAATGACTTGATTAAGTATGACTTGACTCGTGTTTATAAATACACGGACTAAAAAAATCTTGAGCGACCAGGATTCGAACCTGGGTTGTCGCGGCCACAACGCGAAGTACTAACCACTATACGATCACGGCCAGCGCGCTCACATCGATTGGGGCCGAAGTAAATGTGTCAATAGGCCTCCAGTCTTGTCGGTATCTTTAGAAATCATGTCCTCAGTTTTATGGTCCTTCGGGCGTAATTAAATTAAGCTAATTACGGTCTCTAATTGCTAGTTTTTATGATTGCATCTGAAATTGTTAGGCGAAAGTAGCCTGCCTGCCAAATTTCAGAGCTCTAGAGCAATCAGAAGTGGGTTAATTTTCGATGTCAATTTTAACAACAAACAAACAAACGCGAAGCTGAGTTAAGAAAAACGTTTTAAAAAGCAACATGTGTTGAACATAAACACAGTAGCGTAGCGAGGGGGGGGGGGGGGGCGGGGGGGACATATGTCCCCGGGCGCCGACCTTAGGGGGGGGGCGCCAAATTGAAAGTTTGAGGGGGGGGGTGCAAATGAAAAGTTCGAGGGGGGGTGCAAATCGAAAGTTTGAGGGGGGGGTGCAAATGAAAAGTTCGAGGGGGGGGGGGGGTGCAAATCGAAAGTTAGAGGGGGGGTGCAAATGAAAAGTTCGAGGGGGGGGGGGTGCAAATCAAAAGTTTGAGGGGGGGGGTGCAAATGAAAAGTTCGAGGGGGGGGTGCAAATCGAAAATTTGCTCCCAAGGGGGCGCCAAAGTGAAAGTATGTCCCCGGGCGCCGGGAAGGGTCGCTACGCCTCTGCATAAACACAACTCTTCTACATAACTATTCCATTATTCCCAAAAATTTTGTACTCTATTTAAAAAAAAACATCGATATATTTGAAAAACAAAGCCAGACTAGTATTCCCTCACTGAGAGAGGCGAAGAGCTATTGCTTGTTCTCTCGTGCATAGTGACTCTCAAAAGCGTGAATGTGAATAAGGACATTGCTAAATGCAATAGCACAGTGGTTAAGTATAAGCATTCAAAGAAACTGATAGTTCGTCGTTTTTCAGCTGTAGTTCCACGTTCATGCTTCTCTAGCAAGCCGAATTAATTTCTCTACCAGCTTAGCTCTATGTTTATATACACTCTGCAGCGAGGCGAATAATTTTCACTTGTGTAATGCTTGGTGGGCCTACTTTTGCAGTAAAACTTAATTACCCTCCACCACCATCCCGCGAGATGGTTATTTATTTTTAAAAATAAGCCTAGGTCGCATTGTCTAAGGATGGGCGTACGCTCAAATCTTGAAACTCAGTTTTAGCCACTTCCGATGCCGCGATTACATTCCCAAGATAAATTACTTTTCGATGACAACGCAAGAAAAATCGTTTAAAAAAATCTCGTCAGATAATGAATTAGTCATTAAAATAATAATTACTATATTCATTAATAAACCGGGAGTGATCTCCCCTAAACTTTCTCGAATATTCTTATATAAAACAACAGGGGATGGGAACTCGGGATATAGACATGATTTTTAATCCATTTTAAATACTTAAAGTTTTAAAAATAGAATAAAATCTCGTAGACAAAAGAATTGCACACCAAGTGAACGCGCAATGAAAAAGTGCATAATAGTGCGCAATATTATTAGTACTTTAAAAATTTGCATTAGTTTTTTGAGAAATTGGAAGTAGCGTAAATTACTACTTCCGGTCAACGGAAATTACTCAAAATTTAACAGAAGGTAGAGTATTAGATCGTTTACTTACATGTGAAATTTCATTTACGTATCTGAAATAGTACACAAGTTATAGGCTTTTGAAAAATTCAAAGAACAAAAAGTACCACTTCCGGTTATCGGAAATCGCTCAAAAGTTGATACAGATCTACGATTTTGATAAAATACTTATATATGAAATTTCATCAACCTAGCTGTAACGGTACTCAAGTTATCGTGTTTACACACGGACACACACACAGACACACACACAGACATACGGACAGAATTGCAAAGCCCAGATTTTCAGACTGCATTACGCATAAAACCTCTTAATTTTGATAAATCTGGATTGATAATTTTTGCCCGATTAAAATAAGTCCTCTATACTTCGGATGTGATGAAGGACTGAGGTATAATACGGTGAAAATAGTTAAAATTTCAAGTGATTTTTGTGCACGATTACAATACTTTCTCTATACTTCGTATATACGAGAAAGTAAAAAGGGGGAGATAACAGTAGCTAAGTAGAAGCAATTGCTTATCATTGATGTTTTCACACACGAGAGCCGACCGAGGCTATATATTTATTTATATAAATACATTTATATACATATATATGTTTTATCGAGTGACTTTCATGTACCACAGAAAATAAAGGGAAATAATGAATGAATAAAACTCACGGCAATTTAAACGTTCATCTGAGCCATCCTCACAGTTCTCCACCGTATCACAAAGCGTTTTCATGGGGAGACAAACGATTCCACCATCACATGGGAAGTCGTTTGGCCTGCAAATCCGCTCTGGGGATATCAGTATAAATTGTAGTAAAGCAGATCGTGGTTTTTGTGAGAAAATATACTTTGTAATGAAACACTCACTTGAAAGATTTTGAATTATATATTTTTTCAATACATTCTATAGCATCTATCTATATATATATATATATATATATATATATATATATATATATATATATATATATATATATATATATATATATAAAATTATCTTCTTGGAGACGTTAGAAAACAAGCTGTAAGCGCGCCTTGCAGTCCCTTCTCTTCCTCTCTCGGAAGTCTGGTGAGCTGTGGTTCACGCTAAATGTTTACAATCGTAGAGCCGTGTTTAGTGACGGCTATTAGGGGCAGATAATTTAGTTTGAACCGATTTTAAACTTAGGGGAGGTAGCTAAGAGGAGGCTGCTTTCACGGGGGGGGGGGATGGGGTAGGGGGCAAGGGGGGGCGGTTATCGTCCTTAACGACTTACTGATAGTGTTTTAAAGCAGTGATACTGTCGAATTCACAAATTATGAATTACTGAAAAGTAAAAAATAAAACAACTAAATAGCGGCGGCGTATGATAGGCCGCGGGTCGGCTCGTTAGAAATAATGTTTTATACCAACATTCTTATACTGACTTTTATTTTTAAAGTTTACAATTATAAAAGATCCAAGAAATAGACAAGCAAAAGATAAATCGGCTGAGTGATAATTTATATTATAAAAAAAAGCTAAAACAACAATAATTAACGTGTCAGTTTATTGGCATTAGGACGTCTAAAGGACACACATAAAACAAGGAACTTCATCAAAAATTCTTTCGATGGTTTAATGTGCGTCAATGGAAACAACCGAAACACTTTGTCTACAGATCAACCACAGACGTTATGTACAGATCAACCACAATATTTGCATACTGAAACAAAAGTGGCTTGCAGAAAATTCTACTAATTGTCTTCATAGGAAACAATTCACTAAAACAATAGCTTAAAAGAGCTAAAATCACCACCTATACAAATACTTAAAAAAACCCAGCGAATTCGTGTTTAAAATTGAAGAAATTTTGAACATAAATGCAACAATATAAAAAAAAACTGTGAATAAATAGATAATTTAAAAGAGCTATATCTATTTAATTTAAATTTAATAGTAAATTTTTATAGTAATTTAAATAGTTGTGTATAATTTATTTTCTACTTTTTTAGTGCATTAGTACATTAAAGCTTATTATTAAAACGTTTTTTTATGAAAAAATTTCAGTACTTTACATATTTTATTTATACTAGTTGCGTATTGAACGTGATGGCGCGCTTTTGCCGTGATGACGCGTATGGATAGAACTGCCTACAAATTCGGTCCAAATTTTAATTAATTCATAAAAAATTAATTAGGCGACGAATTCAGTCAAATTGAATGTCACGATGCATTGTCTTCATGTCTTCACCCACGTACCAATTAAGAACCGTATCTGTCAAGTAGAAGTGCCTGCAATTTCGCTCCGGTTTTCGATCAAGACAGACTGACGACGTTTTAATAACAAGCTTTTATGTAATAATTAAAAAGTAGTCTAGAATTTATTTTCTCCTTTTTAGTGCATTATTACATAAAAGCGTGTTATTGAAACGTTTTTTAATGAAATTTTTTGAGTACTTTACATGTTTTTATTTACAATAGGGTTACATGACTAAACTAAACATTGCGCGGTTCCAATGTTTCGACTTTCCTAAGAAAACGAATTCCACTGCATCAAATTGACAGACGCTCTGCACCAGACCCTCGTTATCTTAACGTTACAAACATTTAACACTTCTATTTAAATAAACCGGGAGTGATCTTCTCTAAACTTTCTAGAATATTCTTATATGAAACAACAGGGGATGGCAACTCGGGATATAGACATGATTTTTAATCCATTTTAAATACTTAAACTTCTAAAATTTTGGTAAAATCTCGTATAAAAAAGAATTGCACACCAAGTGAACGCCAAATAAAATGTTCATAATAGTGCGGAATATTATTAATACTTTATAAATTCAAATGCGTTTTTTGAGAAATCGGAAATAGCGAAAATTACTACTTCCGTAAACGGAAATTACTCAAAATTTAATAGAAGGCAGAGAATTTAATCTTTTACTTACATGTGAAATTTCATTTATCTATCTAAAATAGTACTCAAGTTATAGGCTTTTGAAAAATTCAAAGTAGAAAAAGTACCACTTCCGGTTATCGGAAATCGCTCAAAAGTTGATCAGGATCTACGATTTTGATAAAATGCTTATATATGAAATGTCATCAACTTAACTGTAACGGTACTCAAGTTATCGTGTTTACACACAGACAGACAAACAGACAAACACACACATACATACGGACAAGATTGCAAAATTATGTTTTTCCGTATCAGTGAGGTGTAAAACGTCGAGATTTGCAAAAGTCTCGCTTTATTTTTTGCACGATTACAATACATTCTGTATACTTCGTTTATACGAGAAAGTAAAAATACAACTTTTCACAATCTTCAGTTGTTTTCGACAATCATTGCCGTCAATCATTTCCCATAATCAATAAACCCATCGATAGTCAATGGTTTAGGTAAAAGACGTTTGACCACAGTTTGGCTAGCACAAATCATGATGCTGATCACATCATTTCTTCATGTGAGGTGTAACCCTCACTCAATGGGGATGCTTTTACCCACTGAGGTGTTGTGGTTAAGACGGGCTTACCCTGAGATTTAGGACACACTTACACCGACAGTTGTTGTCAAGTACTGGTTTTATTTACTACATCGAGCCATGACGGCGATGCAGTACAACACTAAATACTTAAATAAATACTCAACCTAACTAGTGTGCACATGCAGCACTAGCAGGAATACACAAATAAGTATTCTACCAATAACCGTAATTTAATACCCACACTACCTTCATTAGGTCTACATCTTGGTACCGTCACCGTGTCCACAGACAGCAGCCTTGCGTGTGACTGACACGGCTAGGCACGAAACTACCCATAGTCCCATGTCACATGACATGGGACACAGGTAAAATTGCTCAAAAGAGCATGCAACACAAATACATCAACAGGGCTACGGCCCCAAAGGGACCGCAACTCAATGAATTAAAACTTTATTTGCTATCCTCCTTGGCTGGTAACCATATGTGTTACGTAACAGACGCAAGATATAAACAGATAAACAATACTTTGCCATGCCTCATTAGACATTTGTTCTAAAAGAATACTTTGAAAAAACAAAAACAAGTTATAGCCTTGTAGCCCAGAATAAACAACGCAAGACCAATCATGTACTCGAAGATCTGACACAAGATCAATCTTACGGAAGACCAGTCTTCTTTAAGGCCAATCTTGTACAAGACCAATCTTGTACCAGACCAATCATGTACAAACAATCTTGTACAAGACCAATCTTTTTAATGCGACTAGATGGGGCATACAGAAAGTTTTGTGAGAACCCTTGGACGAGAGCCTCCTAGTATGTTGATGAGAGGAGTATCTTTCTAGCCATCAGCCGGATTTATACATATCTTCTGTCTCTCAAGATACGCCTCAGGAGCCGGATATGTCCGACATTTGTCGGTCAGTAAAAACATTCAAGCGGAAGTTCCTTCTGTTGACGACTAGGTCTTACTTTAGGATAAATACTAGTAGTCTGTTAACAAATGACATTTCTATAAATAAAAAATAAAATCCAAAGTTGTTTTAAAATAAGCGATATTAACCCTATATAACTTGACATAATTCTTTCTATTCGTTGTGAAGTATAAGGCCTCAACCATAACCTTCCAGTTTTTCCGGTTCCAGGCTTTTGATTTAGCAGTATCCCAAAACATCCCTGCTGTCTTCAGCTAACTCTATATAACAGCTTAATTCGGCTTGTACATGAACGAAAAATAATATAAATTCAAATAATTTGCATTTAAACGGTTGCTTTTTTTTTTTTCTGTTTTTCCAAGTACCTGTAAGGTGAAACACTGAATCCCCATATTTTTGCACACGTTCAAAAATAATTTCTTTTACTCTTCTACTTAGTCGTAATGTTAGTGAAACGTTAATATCGTTTATCCCTAATCCAGACAGTCACAGAACTTAAGTTTTACATTAGCCTTATTTTAAAAAAAACATTGAGTTGGTAGCGCTATTATGAAAGTACCTTAACCGATTGTTTAACAACAAAAATTTTATGAATAAAATTTGAAAACATCTCCTGTTGAAGCAGACGACAACACTACTCACCAGTAGTTACTAGTTGTCTCATCGTGGAAGTCTGGCAAAAGGCACCAGTGATGATGAGTAGAAAAAAACCCAAACGAAGACAAAATGAGGTCATTTTGATCATCAACTTCGACAGCCGTTTATGTCCGGCAAATATCTAGCCGTAGAGTTTAAAAAATACCAAAGTATTTTCTGATCACAACAAGTCTAGTTTTTGTTGCAAGATGGTCATAGACACAAATCTTCTGGGCATATAAAGGCCACTCAGCTGTAATAAATACCTGTCGCTATTCGGGGAAATAAAAGCGGCCTAAAATAATGTTGACCCACAATGTATCCGGAAAACAGGGCCTACCATATAAAATAACGTGTTATAATTAAGCATTAGTATTGGTTACTATTAAAAACGAAGGTTTCATTGGTTATATTAAAAAAATAGTTCGTTTGTTCTCGATATGGGAGGAGCTTCAAAATTGTTAACTGACTGACATAGTAGGATTAGTTTCCTCGATCGCCACATAACCCACACATCATTAAAGTAGCACTCGTGGCATACAAGACCCTTCGGTCGCAATTGGACCAGCTTCGCACATTGGGGTGTTTTCACATAATCCCCGCCCCTTTTCGCACACTGTGCTCTCAATTTACCTATGGGCATGGTATTGCGCTTCAAAATCAATAATCGGTAAAAATGTCCACGCATACACCCGATGAATTGCCCAATGCATACTCACACACTGAAAGCTAATTGATATGACATTTTTGATATCTAACTAACAAGATAAATTTATTTCGTGGGTATACTATTAACTCTTCAAATATGTGAATTAGAATTCATTATACAATCAACTAAAAATAGTTTGAATTGTGTTAGATTCACCTTGATCATTCCTCTCCAATCCCCTCCCCCAATCATAACGCCAGACTGAAACGTAGTTCCTAAACTTGCTAGGTCAATGTGATGTTTTTTTTTTTACAATCTATATATAGAGGTGGCCATTCTATGGTGAAGAAATAGGACGGGGTGGGGGTGGAACAATCAGCGCATTGTAATTTTCTTTTATCAAGCAGGTTATGCTATGAAAATATATGATCTAAACGAATTTTTCATTGTTGAAAGCATACTGGCTTTAAAGGAAATAATAAGCAACGCCTTTTCCCTCAAATGACCTATATAAACTATCTAATACCGTATTCAACTCACTATCCCCGCCTTCATACAAACACATTCACTTACTGATGACACTTTTAGTCGTTGCTAGGGCCTTCATTATTTACTCTCACAGTGTGTAAAAATAGAATGCGCGGGGGGGGGGGGGGAGATGTGTTGGGGTTGCTAAACATTTTATATCTGTTAAAGAATCAGCTTACAGCGGTTTTAGATTTTTTATTCAGCTGGATCATCACGCATCCGCCCACACACCAGAGTGTATGTCGTATATATTAATATTTATAATATATATTTATAGTCATGTAAGTCTATTGTAAATAAAACATGTAAAGTACTAAATTTCTTTTCATAAAAATAACAAGCGTTTATACGCACATACGTACATACGTACATACGTACATACGTACATACGTACATACGTACATACGTACATGCGTACATATGTACATGTGTACACGCGTACACGCGTACATGCGTACACGCGTACATGCGTACGTGCGTACATGCGTACATGTGTACATGCGTAACTACGAACATACATACATACATGCATGCATACGTACATACATACATACATACACCATTTGAATCAAGTTTGTGATAAAAATGAAATAACTGTCTAATTAAATTCATGTCTAATTAAAGCATAGGATTTATAGTCTTATAGAGATTGTGCATTACTTAAACACAATGAGTTTCCTGTCTAATCCCTGTTTAATTAAATATAGACGCAAATATTTTTCTGGCGAATAAAATATTCATATGATTCAACTGATTCACGAGCAAATAAAAACACACACACATACCTAAATCTTGAAAATAAAACATGTAAAGTACATTTTTTTTTACGTTTTAATTCAAGCATTTATACGTACATACGTACATACGTACATACGTACATACGTACATATGTACATACGTACATACGTACATACGTACATACGTACATACGTACATGCGTACACGCGTACATGCGTACACGCGTAATGCGTACACGCGTACATGCGAACATGCGTACCTGCGTTCATGCGTATATGTGTACATGCGTAACTACGTACATACATACATACATACATGCATGCATACGTACATACAACCATACATACATACATACACCATTTGAATCAAGTTTGTGATAACAATGAAATAACTGTCTAATTAAATTCATGTCTAATTAAAGCATAGGATTTATAGTCTTATAGAGATTGTGCATTACTTAAACAAAATGAGTTTCCTGTCTTATCCCTGTTTGATTAAATATGGACGCAAATATTTTTCTGGCGAATAAAATATTCATACTTCATTCAACTGATTCACGAGCAAATAAAAACACACACACATACTTAAATCCTGTACCTACGCACTCATACACACGTGCAATCGTAACAAATACAAATGAACACACATCCTCAGCCAGTGAGGAATTAAAGGGGGGGGGGAGGCTAATAGAGCAGCAATCTGGAGACAGGCTAGTCTTTTGAGAGAGGCTTGTCTGTTGAAAGAGGCTGGTCTGTTGAGAGAGGCTGGTCTGTTGAGAGAGGCTGGTCTGTTGAGAGAGGCTGGTCTGTTGAGAGAGGCTGGTCTGTTGTGAGATGCTGGTCTGTTGAGAGAGGCTGGTCTGTTGAAAGAGGCTCGTTTGTTGAGAGAGGCTGGTCTGTTGTGAGAGGCTGGTCTGTTGTGAGAGGCTGGTCTGTTGTAAAAGGCTGGTCTGTTGGATTTTGGTTTGTTTTCGATTGTTTTATTTGTTTGCGTTTGTGTTTTCTTTGTGTTTGTGTTTGTGTTTATGGTTGTGTTTGTGTTTAGGTTTGTATTTGTGTTTGCGTTTGCGTTTGTGTTATGTTTGCGTTTTTGAGTGTTTAGGTTTCGGTTGGTTGTGGTTAGGGTTTATTCGAAAAGTAATATATTTCCTAAACCATGGCATTGCCAGGTATATTCTGATTACTAAACACACACGTCATGGTCCTTTACAGATAGGTTTTTCGGAGAAGCCTGTTCAGGGCCTAGAATGGACGGCTAGTCTATTACTAAATCTAAACTCTTGATGCAATATCCACGGTAAAAGGCCTACTAAATAACTGGGTATTGCTAGATTTACTCATACATTTTCTACATCTAGTAGTAAGCATATGCCTACTACTACTACTCTACATAATGACGTATTGTACAGCTCTACACATAGTGCAGATTCTATCCTGTAACCAAACGGACAAACAAAAACATATTCAAACATGTAGACAAACTTGGGTTTTAGTAGTATATAGATAGATAGATGATCAACTAATTCGAGAATACATGGCATTTATCTATCTAGATCTAGATTCTATCTAGATCTAGAGTTAGATCTACCGCAAAAACTAGACTTAACCGTAAATTCTAGAATCTGTATACTAAACTATTTCGGGCGTTAATTATTTGGCGGAACTTGGCGGGAAACAGGGCATGTGAAGTAGAGCTTACCTGTTTCTGTGTCCTCAGCATATGAAGGGATATTGTGGTCAGGCCTATGCTCAGCCGAAATCGGTGTTTTTAAAAGAGAAAAACGTCTGAGGTGTGTCGTCTTTTTGAATGTGGGGTCTGGTTATTACGTGATGATAAGTGACAGACTTGATGTCATTTATAGATGACCCCCAAAACCCACAGTTATCTAATGATAACGGGTAGTCTAGTTAGATCTATATATTAGATTATATATCTATGCCTAGATCTAGCTATATCTATTTTTTTCTTTATATAGATCTAGATTTATATCTACTGCTAACAAATGCACTACGCTGCAAAAAAGATAAAACTTGTTTATAACTTATTATACAATATTATACAACAATTATATATATATATATATATATATATATATATATATATATATATATATATATATATATATATATATATATATATATATATATATATAGTAATTTATGTTTTTTTGTTTGTTTGTCCTTTATGCATTACCACACTTCTCATCACATCGCCGTGAAACTTTGGGAAGATGTTGAAAATATTCCTGGGGAGGTTTCTGCGAAAAAAAATATTTCAAATTCGCAGGGGTGGCGCCCCGGCAGGGCGCGATTTGTTTTTCTCTATATACGGTTTATAAAAATAAAAGTCGATTTTGGCTTGACACCGTTATCCGATAGCCATGAGACTTGGGGGAGTTGATTGGGACACTCTGGGGAAGGGTTTTGTAAAAAAAATAATTTTTAATTTCGCAAGGGCGGCGCCACGTGAGGGTGTGATATTTCTCTCTCTATTAATATAAATAAAAGACTATTGCGGTTCGACGCAATTTAAAACTTTAGGGAGATGATGAATACTCCCGAGAAGGTTTCTGGGGTGGGGGGGGGGGGGGGGCGATAGGGGTGAGTGGGTGGTGGGGCGGAAATTTAATTTTGCATGTGCGCCCCCCCCCCCCGGCAGAATGCGATTTGGCGTCCCGGTCTTTCCCGTGAGCACTATGATGAATATGTTCGGTTCAAACAGTGTGATAGACAATGGATAGGATGGGGCGTTACAAACGCTTACTAAATTGAATCAGGCGTGTCCTCTGGCGCCCTGGTAGGGTGCGATTAGACTGCAAATAAAAATGTCTGTTTCGGCCTCCGAAGGCTCACATGGTTCGCTGAGGGCCATGTAATACGTTTTATTTTAATAATCAGAAAAATTAACTAAGGTTAGATTTTTAACTGGGATGTTTCTTTTTGTCTGTAAAAAATCCAAACAGTTTCGTCAATTTGCGAATGATGCAAATAGCAGCTATTTTTAGATAATCCAAACAGAAATTGAGATCGAGCATCTAAGAATAGACCATTACTAACTCTAACATTTTGTATCAGTCACACTGATGTTTAAAACGCGTCAAATATTTTTTTTACGTGTTAAATAACAAATCCTGTTAATTGGGTCACTTTGGTGAATGACGCAATCTGCATCATTGTTAACAGGTTGCTATTTTAAGGAGCCAGGGGTCGTACGCCGCGCCTATGCAGTAGTGTAATCGGTGGGCGGGGGGCTTCTGAGAGCGGGCCTCTACGTCTCTGACACATGGGTGGTCACCGAAGTGTGTTGTACCATATTATTTCGGTGTTTTCATGCGGTAGTGTAGGTAAACCCGTGTCCTGATATTTATGATCCAAGCGCAGGCATTGTTTACATTTAAATAACTGATTTTTAGAAAAGAAGGTCACGCGTCTAAGAACATATGATTGGTAATGCGTTGGTGAAATTCTTTTAATATATTTCGTCAAACTTTCTTCTATCCCCGCGGTAACGCGCGGGGGTCGGGTACGCTAGTATATATATATATATATATATATATATATATATATATATATATATATATATATATATATATATATATATATATATATATATATATATATATATACTTCCCTTGATGAATTAGGAAATCACAATTACTTCCCTTTATAAAAAACATACGGGGGGGGGGGAATTACTTTTTATTACTTTGTTTTAATGTTGTGAAAAAAAAATTACATAATTAGCGTGGATTGATCAAGTGCAATGTGGTAGATATTTTAATTACTGTCATTTATAAATTTTATACAGCTTCAAAGACATTTTATAGTAATTAAATAAAATGGCATAAGAACTAGACTAATAAAATATTTGAAAACTCGGTTTCTTTTGACTGCTTAGTTTACTGCGCTTCATCCTCAGCTGCGAAGTCAAAAGTTTGCACTGTAGCCACCCATGGACAAAAATAGAAACGACCGTGGGAGAAGATTCTCTGTAATACTCATACTGATCTATCATTCCAAAATTTTCCATGACACAAAATTGACCCCTTGCGATGAGGGCACGCTGCCTTGATATATCCGACAGTCCGGTTGTGTGTGTGTTTAGGGGGAGGGGGGGGGGGGTGAGGTGTGTATCTCTTTCTACCATTCAGATTGTGCCCTTTTAAAACCTAGGAAACATTTTAAAAAAATAATGGAATAATAGCTTCCTGATTAGATCTAATAGCTGCTTCCTTTTATTACTTTCAATAATGAGACTATCACAATCATATCATATTTTAAAATGTTAATTATTTCCCTTGATTTCAAAATGTCTGAGACTGAAATGTAGTTGTGTGTCCTGATGTAATCAGACGCAATTGCTGTATATGATTAAATGATTTGGTTAGGAAGTTTCGCACTGTATTTATTTCCATCAATGTCAAGTAGTTTAATTTGGCATGTGATACATCACACTTAACAAAAAACGTCAATACTGCTCCTTAACTTTGCTCTCCTAAGATCCCAAATGTCTTTGACTAAAGTTCTAATTTCATCTGCTTTGGGAATGTCATCTGTTCCCCACTGTAACATGGGAAACAGAAGACTATACATTAAATATATATATATATATATATATATATATATATATATATATATATATATATATATATATATATATATATATATATATATATATATAGTTAAGTGAGAGTTCACAGTCTAAGCTTTGCTTGAAATATTTCTTGTAACTCGATGTCGGTGTATTTTGTAAAATGAAATCTGAATTTATTCCTTATTTCCCATATAATCGATCTATAAATAATCGTTGCTACTAGTTTGTTTTCGTCTTCTGTTTTTGTCTAGTCGTGTTAATTAAGTTAAGTGTGATTGCTTTATTAGTTGTGGGTGTTTCATTGGTGTTTTTTTTATATTTTCGCAAGTGTTTGTTTTGCAAACTAAATAAATGTATTTCTCAGTATCTTATATATTTTGTTTACACGCTTGACATGTTATTTTTAACATTTTTGATTTGACTTTGCATTTTTTAAAATCTCGAAGTCATTTATGAACAATGTTGTTAGATTGTGCTAATATTGTCCACAAATAATCGTTTGCTTGCCTACTAGTTACGCATTGATGTCTAGCATTTTTTCGAAATGCGTTCTTATGAGATATCATTGACTTTATTATACCATTTTAAAAATAGACATAAAGTATAAACAAAGTATAAACACTGCACTACATTTAAAAAAAACCGGCAGTGATGTAGTTTTAATTTTTACATTTCGATCTCCAAGCGATTCCAATGTTTCCTTAAAAAAACAATTTTATTGCATCAAATTGACAGAGACGCTCCGTACCAGACCCACGTTATCGCGTTACAAAAAGATTATATATTAATACTAATAGTTTCGCTGTCTGTCTATCTATCTATGTATATATCTGACAAGATTCTTACAGATGCCAAATCAGTCCTGCAATCCCTACAAAATCCGGAGTCCTATATTCAAACACTTATGACAGCACTAGAGAGGCTAAAAAATACCTGCAGCAGAATTGTGCTGCAGTGGATCCCGGGCCACTGCCAGATCCAGGGTAACGAGATCGCAGACCAGCTGGCAAAAATTGGGGGAAAGAAACCACAACCGGAAATTTCGCTACACCCAAAAGAAATAAAAAGAATAATTAAAAACAAACAAACGCAAATGTGGTCTGTCACACACCCTCACTACATTAAAGACGACGGCTATTACAATTTAACACGAAAACAACAATACATAATCTTTCGACTTAGAACAGGCCACAACAGACTAAATCAACACATGCACAAAAAACTGAAGGTTGGGTGTAGCGAAATGTGCCCTTGTGGCAAGGCCCCGGAAAACACGGAGCACGTACTCCAGGATTGTACTCTGTATAGCCAGGCAAGAGGCAGACACTGGCCCCAGCCCACCCCACTCAGGGAAAAATTATATGGAACACCTGACAAACTGGAAACCACAGTCCGGTTTGTCCACGAAGTTGGACTTGTTGTCTGAATCCTCCACCATATTCAAAAATTAAGAACGAAGAAGAAGAAGAAAAAGATCTGACAAGAAAGCTCTAGAGAAAACACAAGCAAAATAAAAACATGCATAGTAAAACGGAAACGAAACATGACGTCACATTAAGCATATGGTAGTCTAAAGCCGGGGGAGTGCACACAATAATATAACGTCATTGATTCTCGAGTAAACCATGAACAAAAAGGCAATTTTGTCTAATCTAAGTGGTTTGCGTGAAGAGTTTCTTTCATACAATTTTTTCGGGTAATGGCGAAGCCCAACCCTCGCGTAAAAACGTCTAAGCCCCCCCCCCAACTCAAAAGAAATGTCGTCATCGATACTCTATAATAAAATTATCGCCTAATTAATGTGTCTAATCTAAAATGTGGTTTGCGTGCAGAGTTTCTTTCATGCAATTTTTCGGGTGGGGCTTAGCGTTTAGCGTGTAGAGTTTATTTCATGCAATTCTTTGAATAGTGGCTAAGCACAACACCAGTGTTTCTTTCAGACTTTTGCTCTCCGGAGCGGGGAACTTGAAATTTTCTAATCTAAAAAGCGTTTTGCGTGCAGTTTCTTTCGTGCAGCTCTTTCAGGCTCTACCTTTAGTTTGTATGATCAACAAATGCGACCAGTGTTACTTTCAGACATTTTCCTCCCCGGAGAGGAGTGGGGGTACTTGAAATTTTTGGGGGCGGGGTGGAATTTTCTGAGAGGGGAAAAAAGTATGTAATTATATTTTGTTGAATGGGACGGTAGACAAGTTTTGTGGTGTGTGTGTGTGGGGGGGGGGGGGGGGGTAGAGCCCCCTACTCCCAAGTAGAGTTGCCTGAAGAAACTCTAAATGCGACTTTTGTCATGATTGAGATAAGGTGCATGGTTTAGAGGTATGGCTACGACTGTATTTAGTATAAATGCGCGATAACTACGCGTAGATCATGCTTAAATCTGATTAAAATGCCGATTCTGGATAAAAATCCGTTTTCAATGTCATTTTTCGTTTCTGTTTAAATTTGAAGTATAGGTGGTGATTTTGGTTTTGATTTTAGTTTAGAGAAAATAGACAGCACTATCAACCTAGCCCCCGTTGTATCCTTCCTCAACGGGATATTTTTCTCGTATAATATTATTTACGCTAATAAAACATTATAAATCGTTTTTTTTTTTAAAATTATTTCCGTTTTTAGTATTGTCTCAATTTGTGATTTGTACCATTAGGCTCATACACCCATCTTGTGATTTTAATATTTTAAGATACGCAAACCATTATAGTTTAAGATACTTAATTTTTTTTTCCATTTGGTAATCTTTGCTCACTCATTTCGTTTTTAAGCAAAAAAAAAAAAGAGCGTAAGTTGTGAGTAGATGAAGAACTGAAAAATCTTGTCACGTAAGCATGGCAAGCTTTATCGATTACTTTGGCTCGATGAGGCGTACTCCAATACTTATTTATCTTGTGTAAATGGGGCCCTAGGTGCTTTGGTTACAGGTGTTTTGACCATAGAGGTTTTGGCCATGCATGGTTTGACCACAGTGGGGCTTTGACCTTAGGGGGTTGACCTGTGGTCAAAGGTCCAAGTATCGATAATCGTAGATAGCCGATAGTGGTACTTTAGTATTAAAGACTAAGGTAGGCTAAATGTAGGGAGGACTAATTCCATAATTAGATCTGGCGTGTGAATGAAACGGAGTAAATATGAAAGTGTTTGTTGAAATAATTCATAACCATCAACATAGTTTATGTTCACATTGATGATTAGAGATAAGGTTAAGGAGATGGTTATTGTTAGAGTTGGCGTTTGGATTATGTGCTACATTAGATATCGGCATAACGAACATTATTCGCGCTTTTTGTCACTAAACTATCCGTGTATTTTAGAAACTGCTAGACAAAAATTCTACCCAGAAATACATTATTTTGTGTTGGTAACCTCTTTATAAGGGGATTATTTTCTTCAATTCAGCACTATAGGCTAATAAGTCTATAATCAACGATCTGATATTGAGAGACGTTAATGGGAAAATATTTTTAATGTATCCAATTTTTGGGATAGGTCAGTGAACAGCATTATTTGACAACACTGAATCAATTCCGTTTAACCGCAGTTCTTCTCATCCCATCCATTGCCACAGTGATTTTGACCGTCACACACCCAGGTTTTCAGTATACAGATGTGGTTGTCGCATTTGATCTCGTTTTCAGCGCAAACAAAGTCCTCTAAAAAGACACACACAAGATCACAACTTTACATATTTCAGTTAAAGATTTGAACTTAAAAATACCAATATTACTAAACACAAAATGGCGCCTCACCACATAATTTTAACTCATCGGTGCCGTCCTTACAGTCCCAGTATCTGTCGCACATACGGTAACGCGGTACACATTCTCCTGACCCACAGCGGGTCTGGTTGTTCTCATCCCATCCGGTGCCGCAATCATCTTTACCGTCACATAACTTGGTTTTATATATACAAATGTGGTTGTCGCACCTCTCCTTGCCATAATAGCAAGGACGTTTTTCTAAAAAGACATAATTTTTTTTTTACAATTTTACGTATTTTAGTTATAGATTCTCACTTTAAAATAACAACAATATTAAACACAAGCAAAACGATAACAACAAAACAAAATAATAAAAACACGGTCAATTCTATAGGTATAATATTTTAAAATTTTAATAAACTTATTGAAGTTGTGGCAACTACATTTTAGCTTTTATCGATATAATCAACCCTTTTTAATACATTTAAGCGTTGGAACATACATTAAATGAACAAACCTAATTATGCCTTCTCGCAATTCTCCAAGGTCAAGAGATACCCGAGAAGAATAAATAAATTCATATTCCGTGTTTTTCTTAAAAATTCAGTAGTTGTTTTTAGTACTTTAGCCAACCGAAAACCTGTTACACAATTTAGATGTAAGCCATGTCAGGAGGATGACTAATCTTCGCCCCTAGGCTTATGTTTAAACTGTCAGGTAAGAGCAAGCCTGGTCGAACCCAGACTGGTGAAAACCCTAATCTTAGTCTCAACTAAAATAAAAAAAAAATTAAAAACTAAAAGTTTATAAAATTTATTAAACAAAAAATGAAACCAAATTTACTAAAAACAATTAATCAAAAAATACAAAATAAAAATAAACCGGGAGTGATCTCCCATAAACTTTGTCGAATATTCTTATATGAAACAACAGGGGATGGCACTCGGGATATAGACATAATTTTAAATCCTTTTTAAATACTTAAACTTTTTAAAATAGAATAAAATCTAGTAGAAAAAAGAATTGCACACCAAGTGAACGCCAAATAAAATGTGCTTAATAGTGCGGAATTTTATTAGTACTTTATAAATAAACATGCGTTTTTTTAGAAATCGGAAATAGTGAAATTTACTACTTCAGGTCAACGGAAATTACTCAAAATTTGAGAGAAGGCAGAGAATTAGATCTTTTACTTACATATGAAATTTCATTTATCTTTCGGAAATAGTACTCAAGTTATAGGCTTTTGAAAAATTGAAAGTAAAAAAAGTTCCACTTCCGGTTATTGGAAATCGCTCAAACGTTGATACGGATCTACGATTTTGATATAATACTTATATAAGAAATTTCATCAACCTAGCCGTAACTTTACTCAAGCTATCGTGTTTACACACACACACACACACACACACACATACACACACACACCAACACACACACACATACAGACATACGGACAAGATTGCAAAACTAAGTTTTTCCGACTCAAGGAGGTGTAAAACGTTGGGATTTGCAAAAATCTCGATGTTTTTTTTTCACGATTACAAGACTTTCTCTATATTTCGTCCATCCGTCCATCCGTCCATCCGACCATCCGTCCGTCCATCCGTCCATCCGTCCATCCATCCATCCATCCATCCATCCATCCATCCATCCATCCATCCATCCATCCATCCATCCATCCATCCATCCATCCATCCATCCATCCATCCATCCATCCATCCATCCATCCATCCATCCATCCATCCATCCATCCATCCATCCATCCATCCATCCATCCATCCATCCATCCATCCATCCATCCATCCATCCATCCATCCATCCATCCATCCATCCATCCATCCATCCATCCATCCATCCATCCATCCATCCATCCATCCATCCATCCATCCATCCATCCATCCATCCATCCATCCATCCATCCATCCATCCATCCATCCATCCATCCATCCATCCATCCATCCATCCATCCATCCATCCATCCATCCATCCATCCATCCATCCATCCATCCATCCATCCATCCATCCATCCATCCATCCATCCATCTACCCACCCACCCTCGCACGCACACACGCACGCACGCACCCACACACAGACACAGACACACACAGACGCACAGAGATAGACACAGATACACAAATACACAGACACACAGACACACAGCAGAGGCGTAGCGACCCCTCCCGGCGCCCGGGGCGAACTTTCAATTTGGCGCCCCCATATATATATATATATATATATATATATATATATATATATATATATATATATATATATATATATGTATATATATATCATGCATGTGCATACATATACATATATATTCATGTATATACTTATATTAAATATATACGTGTGTGTGTGTGTGTGACACAGAGGAGTAACGACGTGTAACGTGAAATTTAAGTATAAATAAGTGAACGTAGAACGTGAGGAAATTCTTTTATTTGTCAAACAATATTTTTTTTGTTGGACAGAAGACAGTTATAAACATTGCATGAATTAAATAACAAACACACACACACACACAAATGAAAGAATAACATCTAATCTGGTATTAATATAAATTATATAAATAGTTGCATTTTTAGCATTATTTTTCACCTTAACATATGCTACCGATTTCAATGTGTTTAAAAATGCATTAAAGTTAAACCACAGATGGATGTATTTTACTGTTAATAATCAATTTAAAGCAGATTTATTTTTCTGCTCTTTAGTGATGCAAACTTATCAATGATATCATCAAAATCAATACTGTTCAGTGTCTCTTTTTCTACACTTAATATCGCCAGATCACTAAGTCGATCTTGTCCCATGGATGATCTCAAATAAGACAGAATGAGTTTTAACTTGCTAAAGGAGCGTTCACAGCTTGCAATAGACACAGAAATCGTAAGAAGGATTTGAAGTGCAATACGTAAATTAGGAAAAACATCGTTGCCATAAGAAATTATAAAGGAAAGCAGTTCAAATGGATTCTTTGGCAAGGCATCCGAACGAGAACCAAGCAGCATTCTGCAGTCACATATTTCTGCCCACAACTCACTTCCATTAAAATCAGTTTTATAAAATTCACCGAGGAATTTGCATTTTTGGCTGATGGAATCTTTGTTAGTTAAATCAGATTTTAAAAGGCAATTTACATCAAGTAGAAAACCAAATTTTTCATTTAGATCTTTTAGGCGAGTAAACCGTACTGCAACTTTTTCCCTAAAACGATCAATGACGCTTTTCATTACTCGCACGATCTCTTCTTCTGCCGTCAGACTAACATCTTGCCCTACCTCACCGGGCATCAGTTTTCGCCTCCTTATCCTCCTGCTGATTTCCACTCCCCAGTGCTCGCATTTGGTTTTTGCACTTTCTAAAGCCTTCTGACACAACTCTTCACGTCCTCTGTTTAGCTCAGTTTCCAAAGCTACAAGATCAGCCGCTGCTTCACTAAAGTTCATAGTCGGATCCTGCAGACGTTTTTGAACCCGATCGATTTTCCCCAAAACTTTGTTCCAGAAAAAAAGAAGGACAAAAAAGTTAAAACTTAAAACATTTGCCAGCAACGTGTTTGCCTCACTTCTTGTCTCGCTTGTTTGGCTGGAATCTTCCGACAGTTCTTCAAGAAGTGATATTAGTTCGTCCAGCCCTTTGTAAACTGCTTTGACCGACTCAGCTCTTGCGCACCAGCGTGTGTCGGATTCGCGTTTTACCGTTATAGGTAGAGCTGTAGTTAATCTGTTCCATCGAATAGTTGAACAGGAAAAAAAATTATAAATTGTTCTTATAGTATCGAAGAATGTAACAACTTGAAAGTCTTGCTTTGCTGAATAAACTCCAGCCAAGTTTAAACTATGATTATCACAATTGACAAATAATGCGTGACAATTTCTTTTGAGCATCCGTTGTTGAAGGCCAGAAATATGACCAGCCATTACAGATGCATTATCGTAGCATTGGGATCTGCAGTCAGCCAGAGGTAAATCATCAGATTCTAGTTTATCTACGATGGCTTTTTCAATACTAGCAGCATCTTTGGCAATGACCTGTACAAATCCAAGAAATGATTCTTTGATGGTTACTTTCTTAGTTACAAAATCAACATCCACGTATCTAATAACCTCAGATAGCTGTTCACGGTGTGCTAGATCAGGAGTAGTGTCAAGCAAAATTCCGAAATATTTGTTTTTTCTGATATCCTTTAGCAGCTGATTTCTCACAGTAGAAGCCAATATGGATAAAAATTCGTTCTGAATTTCAGGGGACAGATAAGAAATAGCACCTGGATTTTGTTGGGCATGTTGCAAATGGTTAGCTAAAAGCTGGTCATATTGGGCCACAAGTGTGAGAAGAGAAAGGAAGTTTCCCACATTGGTTCCAGGTTCAGGGGATAAGTTTTCTTGGTGACCTCGCAGAGCTAAATTTTGAGATGCCAGGAACTTAATACAAGAAAGTAGTCTTTTTAAAACGTCACGCCAGCGTTGTTTTTCGACCTGAATTTGTGCCTCTACTTCAACATCTATTCCTTTTCTTAATACTATTCTTCGTTCTGCTTCTTTCCAGGTGGTAAAAGCTGCACGGTGACTGGGGCTACTTTCGTGATCCCTAACCCTTTCTGTGTGTCTCCAATTTTTAAATCCTGTAACAGACTCAAACGATGATTGAGAGTTTGGTGTTGATGATGTGAACAGCAAACAACAAAAGCAATATGCAGCTTCCTTGAGGGGTGAATAAAGCAGCCATGACCTGCTTACCTCTTCCCCATTAGCTAACTTACGCTGGAGCCACACTTGTGTCATGCAACGCCCGCTTGATGTTGCAAATTGGGCATTTCGATTTTGAAACGCCAAAGATCCTTGAGCTATCATTTCTGTACGTAGCCTCTGACTTATAACAGAAAGTTTTGACTGTTTGTCAAAATCCAAGTATCCAACATCACAAAACCGTAACACAGCAGGGATTGAACTTGTGGGATTATTCAGGACTTCATCATTGTTTAAATTAGTACTGCCAGATGCCTCGTTGATATCAGTGTCGTCCATTTTATCCGACTCGGCTGAATTGATCTCATCAGATACATGCAGTTTCGTTTCTCCTTTCTCTTCTGATTCAGATCTGGAATTTGATTCGCCTTGGGAACATTGTTCATTTTTGTCGGAATTGTCTCTTTTTAAAAATTTTGCCATCAATACACTAGACTTTACATTTGCTCCATCAGCCTCGCGATTTCGTTTACGACGTTCAGATCCGCTTAATTTTTTTG